TGTCTTGCCTACATACGCCGGCGTCACCCACGTGCCCCGAGTGCCGCCTACCATGCACTCATATCAGCAGCCGGCTCGCCAATCGCGTTCTGCGACATGGATGCGACCAGCAAACCAATGGCGCACTGCTGATAATCGCCCCATCTGTTTTGCTTGCGGTTGCGTCGGTCATGTGGCACGATATTGCAATCGTGTGCAGCAACCGCAGGTCGCCTCCAACTTTCCCAGCCAGTCAAGCCGCTCTTATGACCAACCGCCGCCTATGTCACCGTCGTCCCGCCCCGTTCCGTCTACCCGCCGTTCACCATCTCCACGACGTCGCTCACTGTCACCCATGCGGCCACGTCCACTCGAGGGCGACCAGGAAAACTAGTCGTCGCAGTCCACGAGGCAAGGGCTGCGACGCTGTCGAACTGCGGAAGCCCTCAGGAAAGCCCGTCGAACGTGATAGACGTGCTTGTGGATGGCGTTCGTGCATCTGCCCTTGTAGATACTGGAGCCGCCGTATCCGTGATGGACGAAAAACTTTGCCGATTACTGCGCAAAGTGACCACGCCGCTTTGCGGGCTCTCCCTCCGCACAGCCAGCGCCCAAAGCATTCACCCTACAGCGATGTGCACAGCCCGCCTTATGATTCAGGGCGTGATGTATGCGGTCGAATTCATCATAATTTCTTCATGCTCTCACGACGTCATCCTAGGATGGGATTTTCTCTCCCGCCACGACGCCGTCATTCATTGCGCACCAGCAGAAATAGAACTCGCGCCATTTTTTTCTTTGACGCCGGCCGACAGTCCATCCGCTGCAAGCAAGTTACTCGTCAGAGACGACACTCAAGTGCCTGCAAACTCGTCCGTTGCGGTGTCGCTCTACTGCGCAAGCCTTTCTGACACCGCTGCACTCCTCTCGCCATCTCATCGTGTTTTCATAAGAAAAAGCTTGCTGGTTCCTTTCGCGACCGTGCAACTCACTCACGGCAGCACCACTGTTTTTGTTGTGAACTCATCTCCGTACAGCGTTACGTTGGTGCTAGGAGAATGTCTCGGCAGCGTGGAACCCATCGAAGACGCGCAAGTTATGGATCAACCCGATGACATGCACTACCCAAGTTCCTGTACGCTTGGTGCTGTTTCGACATCTGCTTCATCATCCGATGATATATTCGGTCCCTGCATACCCGACGACCTTACGCAGGGCCAGCGTTCCCAGCTTTTGGGCCTGTTGGAAGAATTCCGCTCTTCTTTCGATGTCGCTCAACCTTTTCTCGGCCGCACATCCACCGTTACGCATCGCATCGACACAGGCGCACAGCCACCGCTGCGGCAACGTCCATATCGCGTATCTCCCACAGAACGCCGTGTAATCAACGAGCAAGTCGACGACATGCTTCGCCGCGATGTTATTCGCCCCTCTAGCAGCCCCTGGGCATCTCCTGTCGTTCTCGTCACGAAGAAGGATGGTTCTGTGCGGTTCTGTGTGGACTACCGACGCCTCAACAAGATCACTCGTAAGGACGTGTATCCACTACCGCGGGTAGATGACGCGATTGACAGCCTGCAAGGAGCAGAATTCTTTTCATCCCTCGATTTGCGCTCAGGGTACTGGCAAGTACCTATGGCTGAGGACGCTCGACCAAAGACTGCTTTTGTCACCCCCGACGGCTTGTACGAGTTTAACGTTATGCCGTTTGGGCTGTGCAATGCGCCCGCCACCTTTGAGCGCATGATGGATACAGTTCTGCGTGACCTGAAATGGCACACGTGCCTGTGCTACCTCGATGACGTCGTCGTTTTCGCTCCTGACTTCTCGACGCACCTTCAACGCCTTCGGCATGTTTTAACGCGTCTGAGAAACGCCAGTCTGCAACTGAACCTAAAAAAGTGCCAATTTGCAGCTCGGCAGCTGACAATACTCGGCTACGTCGTGTCCAAGGACGGAATTCTCCCTGATCCAACCAAGCTTCGGGCCGTGACCGAGTTCCCCAAGCCGACATCCGTGAAGGAACTGCGCAGTTTCGTAGGACTGTGTTCCTACTTTCGGCGCTTCATTCGAAACTTCGCGACTATCATATCGCCGCTGACGAAGCTTCTCGGAAGTAACGGGCCTCTCCATTCGTGGTCATCACAGTGCGACGACGCTTTCAGAACACTTCGTCGTTTGTTGACGTCGCCTCCCATACTCCGCCACTACGACCCTACGGCCCCTACAGAGGTACACACGGATGCCAGTGGTGTCGGCCTCGGCGCTGTCCTTGCGCAGCGCAAACCAGGGTTCCCGGAATATGTCGTGGCGTACGCGAGCCGTACGCTTACTAAAGCCGAGACTAATTACACAGTCACCGAGAAAGAATGTTTGGCAATCGTCTGGGCCCTTGCAAAGTTCCGACCTTATTTGTATGGTCGCCCATTTGATGTCGTCACCGACCACCACGCACTATGCTGGTTGTCGTCATTGAAAGATCCCTCAGGCCGTCTCGCCCGGTGGGCACTTCGCCTGCAAGACTATGACATCCGCGTGCTGTACCGCAATGGAAGGCAACATGCTGACGCCGACGCCCTGTCGCGCTCTCCCTTGCCTGACGACAATGCCAACAACTCAGTGTCTCCCCTTGCCATTTCTTCGATTAGCATTCATGCTATTGCTACTGAACAGCGCAAGGATCAATGGATTGCCTCACTGATAGACTTGCTGACTGATCCATCCACTCCATCCACTCGCGCGTTGCGTCGTCAAGCCCACCATTTCGCCGTTCGCGACGACCTCCTCCATCGATGCAATTACAACGGTGACGGCCGCCAGTGGCTACTAGTCATACCTCGCAGTCTGCGCTCTGACATATGCGAATTATTTCATTCTGATCCGCAGTGTGCGCACTCCGGGGTATCGAAGACTTACCACCGCATTCGCCAACGGTACTTTTGGCGCGGCATGTACCGCTACGTGCAGAAATTCGTTCGCTCCTGCATAGAATGTCAGCGCCGCAAAACTTCAACGCACCTGTCGCCGGTAGGTCTGCAACCTCTACCTTGCCCTGCCAGGCCGTTTGGGCGCGTTGGCATCGATTTGTATGGGCCACTTCCACTAACGTCGGCTGGTAACCGCTGGGCCATTGTTGCTGTGGACCACCTCACGCGATACGCCGAAACGGCCGCTCTTCCCGCGGCTACAGCGAGCGATGTGGCTTCCTTTCTGCTCCAACGATTCATTCTGCGACACGGCCCACCCCAGGAACTTCTCAGTGACCGAGGCCGTGTCTTCCTGTCTGAAGTCGTCGAAGCCATTCTCAAAGAGTGCAACGTTGTTCACCGCAAAACTGCTGCTTACCACCCGCAGACGAATGGCCTCACAGAACGCTTCAACCGTACGCTGGGCGACATGCTCTCCAAATACGTCGCCGCCGATCACACAAATTGGGATTCCATTCTACCCTTCGTCACCTACGCATATAATACCGCCCCTCAGAGCACTACTGGCTTTTCACCTTTCTTTTTATTATATGGAAGGCACCCGTCGCACACCATCGACACGATACTTCCGTACAGGCCAGATCCGTCTGAGTGGGCACCTATTTCTGCTACAGCCAAGCTTGCTGAAGAATGTCGAGAGCTTGCAAAGACCTTTACTGCGCACGATCAAGAGCGGCAAAAAAAGCATTCGCGCTGACGCCAGTACTACTGCACCCACATTCCTCCCTGGAGCGCTCGTCTGGCTCTCGATCCCTACTACTGCAACTGGCCTATCTTCAAAACTATTGCCTAAATACGAAGGCCCCTACCGTGTCGTCAAATGCACTTCCCCAGTCAACTACTTGATTGAACCCATCGAACAATCTTCGGACATGCGTCGTCGAGGACGCGAGATTGTTAACGTGGAGCGCCTCAAGGCCTACCATGACCCGCTCATTGTAACCAGCTGTTAGGTCGCCAGGCGGCTCCCTTTTCGTACCCGGGGTAGTTGTGGTAAAGCCTTTGAACAGTGGGTCATCCTCTTCAGCGCCTTCTAGTGGGTCGCCCTTTTTATTAAGAAGAAGAGCAGCTCGTGCAGAGAGTCGATCCCCGCATTGACTGTCGCTGTCGTGAATCATCGCTGAGTGTCCGTCAATAAACCGCTTAACAATATATATATATATATATACATAGATACACACACACATGTTTCTTACACTGCAGATCCCAATAGTCTTCTTTCGTGACGAAAAAAAAAATGGCTATAGAAGTCTTGCTTCAGCATGCCATACTCTGCCCACCTGCCGGTGATGTCGATTGTATACAATTACAGACAGCAGCACACGTGTCTTCAATTCGCAAAAGAGTATAACAGGATGCATTTTTTTGTTTTCAAATTTTGCTTTTCGAGGAGAATGTCACTGATTAGTCTGCCGCTTAAATTGTCAAGGTCTAAAGTCTATAGACGGTCGCCATGGGCCCACGGAGCAGCAGTTTGCCGGCCCTGACGTAGTATTATTTGCAACGTTTATATTGGTATTATACGGTCCCCGGTACAAAATCACGACCCCTCCCCTTTATGTAACACACTCCTCCACGGCTTTCTGCATCAGTCAGTGAACAACCCTGGTGTAGATATTTGAGAGTTGGCTTAGAATGTTCATCTCTAAGAGAGACCTTAAACATAATTCTGTATGCATCATTATTGTAAGTTCGTCAAATTTTTTCTCGCTTTGCAATGTCCACTCCACCCCCTTTGTCGTGCAGCCCTCACTGTGTCTGCTTCATGCAACTCGGCCCTCCGCCTGAGAATATTTTAGTCTCTCCTGACCTATTTAGTTGCATACTTCTGAATTAATATTCCAATACATTGTGCACTCTCCATGGGCATAGTTACGGAGGAAGGGTGAAGAAAAACTGACTACGCTGCTGGCGCTTTCCATTTGTCATTTCGTTATATACCATAGGCTTTCAATACGAGGGACTAAGGTTATACCTTGGTATCAGTTTTGTGTGCACCAACTGTTTGACAATCAGTGCTTTTGTTTGTTTCAGGAATTTTCGCTTATCTGAATTACCTCGAACCGAAGACGCGACGAGAAATCTTGGAATGTCTGATCAAGGGCCTTCAGCGACTGGAGTACAGGGGCTACGATTCTGCTGGTGAGTTTAGATAGCAAAACTAATGGCTTAGCGGCCGACTTTTTGTTTGTTTCGAATGGGGTTTGATCAAGAATGAATTGCCTATGCAAGCGCTCTGCTTGCATAGGTGATTACTCATTCTGTGCTCTCTTGCTGCTGCACAAGAACAGCTTCCAGACCTACATTGCTAGCATCAGTGTGAAGCATCGTAGGAGTTTTCTTGTCAAAGTGGGCAAGGACTGGAAGTGCTTGTAGTCTGCGTTTTCATCGGTGCCGCCTCTAAAGCGATCAGTAACGAGCGGTTGAGAGGGTCACCTGAGATGGGTGCGACGAGAAGCTGCCTTGGGGCACCTTTGGCAGGCTTGCATTGGCCATCGGTTGAGGTGAGTGGCGCCTCGGAGGTTTTGGAGAGGAAGTGAGCTCTGGCGCGAGGCCTCGCAACCGTTGACTGAAGCGATGCACATGAGTTGCAACAGGTGACAATGCACGAGGGCTGGATGAACAGCTCCCAGCAGGAGTGGGGAGCATCTGGCAGGGTTGAGGCCTAGCACCTCCATCAGTGTCGCGGTGCATCCTCGAGACAGCAAAAACGGCGTGTTCTCAACAGCTGAATCGCAAGATTGTCTTCTACGTTCTCAAGTATAGCCAGAGGCCCTCTACGTGGTGTCCGCTTAATCCCCCATCGTCATTTTTGTCCACATCTAGCCACGCGTCGATATGTTTCTGAACTCTCCATGCCCTAGAAAATTTATTGAGAGGCGTTTAAATAAAGCTGAAGTGGCTTCACAATTAGGTAGTTGAAACTTTGTCGTTAATAAAGACCCGACATTATTGTGGACCATGTCATAATTTTTCTGATGTTCTTGCAGCAGGAGGTTTAAAATGCATGAAAGAAAAGTTTGTCTTGTTTCGTCCATGCAATTGAGTCAAAATTGCGAGCATGAAAACGAACTAACTGCAGCTATATCATCTTTGTGTCAGAGAGTCTTTGCTCTTTTTGTTAGACTCTGAAGTCTAAAGAGAGCACCGATTCTGTGACACAATTCCAATTAGCCCAACACTTGCACCACACAGCAAATGAATATTCATGGCCACTAGAGTATACCAGCTGTCATCCTGCACTCTATTCGTCTTGAAGGACTCTGAAAAGGCTGAGGGGCTCAATGATGCAAATCTTGCTAAATCATCATTCAGCACTTCAGTACTTCACCAGCATTTATTAGAATTTACAACTGTATGGGCTGGCATGAAACTTATAATCTCTGAAGACCTTTCTTATCCTAGGCAACTAAACTTATCGACAAGCACGACAGACACGGTGTAATGAAGCTTTACATAGGAGCTGAAAGTGCTTGAATACACGTGCTCCAAAAAACGAGTGTGAATAAATAATGCACAGCTCCTTTGGACTGCCTTAGAAATTACCCAACAATTCCTTATACACAGTTGACTCAAAGATAAGCATTTGGCTTTCCTAAACGAAGTGTTTTAGAAAAATGAGCCGTAGTACGGCGTGCATACCAGGGACTTGTCATGGGATTTGTCTTCACTTGCCTCTTGCACTGGAAAAAGTTGGTTTTCAGCAACAACAAAAAAAGCTTTTTAATTAAGCAAAAGCATGAATATGAAAAATATGCAGAAAGGAGCATACTACCCAAATTTTGAAGGAGAAAAAAAGTGATTTCTTTTTTCAAATTTTGTCTTACCCTGTGTCCTGAACATGATTTTTTTGATTTTCATTATTGTCCCACTTCGCCACTGTCTGACCAGTTGCAATCACTTTGTGCATCGTCAAGAAAAAAAAACACCTTTGCAGGCTACCAGGCACTTGTCTGGCACATGTTAGTTATAGCTGCTGCTTCAATGTAGTTGAGTTGCGATGAAACTCTCGCTTATGTGTTCGTTTTGTTCGTACTCTCCTCTTCTGCAAATGCACCAGCAAATAGCCGCCTGTGAGGCTGCGAGACACTTTCAAGAGTAGTCAACCACAGTGCTGCCGCTATTTTCTGTTCAAAACTGCTCCCTCCATGGCAGCCAGGCGCACCACTAAAAAATTCTAGTACACTGTACTAACCGAGAGATAACAAACACAGTCAAAGATGCATAGTGATCATTGAACAATGAGAGGATGGTAAAAGGGTGAGGAGTAAAACAGAGTGTCGCACGAGACTACAAAATGGCGCAAGAGTAGCATGCGTCGCATGGGAAGCTGCCGGTGGTGGTGGCATTTGTGACTGGCACCCACACACTGACACTAGGGATGTATTGGACGCGAATTTTGCATTAATTAGGGCGTACCTTAGTGATCATTTCATTGAATTTTTTTTCTTCTAGTAAAAACTGGTGTTGTGTGACATAGTGCATGCACCAGTAGTGTTGAGCTTGGTGAAATTTTTGTGAGTTCAGTATGCATGCATTTGTGCCTTATCGGTTTCAGCATCAGGCTGCTGTGCTGGGACTTTGCACTTTACTGCTACTTCTACTCCCTTGGTGAATAGCTCACTCGAGGAAAAAAGAATTTCATTCCCTATGATGGTAATCGCACCTCAATTCCCCAGTGCAATATCAGCCAGATTTTATTATGCCGCAACCGAATGCATACATCTCTTCTTAGAAAACCAATCGGCTTCAAAGCATTTTCTATATGCGTTACTTCACTAATATCACGTGGGAGATGAGCAACAGATTTGAATAGCTTACACATAATCATTAGTATACAATCTTCCAGATAAGTGTGTTACTCCAGCACTTGCCACCGAAAAATTGCCATCATAAGAGTGAGGCATGAGGTGCATGCTGAATAAAGACATGTCAACAGCATTACAATCCAGTCTTTTTCATGAGCTTTATTGTTCTTTTTGCCCCGCAGGTATCGCCTTTGACAGAGACCCTCTCGGCAATGACATTTCCATAATTCGTAAAATTGGAAAAGTTAAGGTGCTTGAAGACTCCATATGGCGTGAGTGCAATAATCTATTTATTGCAAGTGGTGAAATGCCCATAGGCTTCATTCTCTTAATATTTACACAGTTTCACCCACAGAAATGCGCAATGCTATCTTTTTTCCATCTAGCAATTCCAACGTCACGTGTGTACCAATTCCACCACCTATGCGTGAATATTTTAAAAGCATATGCCCAAAATAATGCTTTATACTTGCATACTATTAAGTCAAAGTTTACTGTCTCTGTGCAAGGATGTGCAGTACTTATGGATTCAAGCTGCCTGTTTTTTTTTTTTTTCTTTATTGTTTAGTGTAATAAATGCTTTGAGTGATTGCTTGATAATTGCTTGAATGGGTGGCTCTGATGTAAGTATTAGTAATAATTACACTGATATGAGACAAACTGTAGGCACTGAAAGAGAAAGTATGTGCATTACTTAGCCTAGTATGTTCAAGTTTTGTTCCATGTGATGACGTGGTGTAAGTCTGTTAGCAACTCTATTGCTGTGAAGTCATACTAGTAGTATTTTTTTCTTTCTTGCAAAATTTCTCTTGTGTGCTGACTATATGTAGACAGCCAGAGTTAGGTTCAAGGGGTGCTCATAGAAGCACTTCAAGGACATTGATTTGTTTGTGATCATGCATAGAGAACAATGAGATCTGTAACTTGAATATATGAAAAACAAGAGGAAAGACCAGCAAAAATTTGAACTGAGGCAAATACAGTAATAGTATAGGCAGTAACGATATTGCAATTGGAGCAGCGGTTGAGATTTTAAAGCTGTGTTTTAATGTTTTTGTTGAAGAACCAACAATTTGTGGTTAAAATTGAGTCGATCTCCGAGTGGTACACTTCTTGCGACCCTTGATTTTGTAGCTTTAGGCTGTAAATCATCGAGATGCACATGATCCCCACGAGGTTTTGATTGCCTGCCTTTTAGAGAGTCTGCAGATAGTTTAATTTACGTGGTATTATTTCTCAAAGAACTGCTTCCATTTGCAGAAAAGGATGACCTTGATATGGACCACGAGCATATTACACACGTTGGTGTTGCCCACACACGTTGGGCTACCCACGGTGCTCCCAGTGACCTCAACAGCCACCCGCATCGTTCAGATCCTGAAAATGGTAGGTGCGCTTGTGCATATTTATGAATGCCACTTATAGGGGAAAAAGCCAAAAGGGCAGCAACACATATACTCCCCATATACAGTCTTTTTTGTTGTTTTGCTTTCTTCTAACAATACATGTATTTTAAAAAAATGTCAATAAAGCAGCTGTTGTGTTTCGCCCAACCTCTGCAGTGAAGCATAAATATTTTGGCATGGCTAAAGTTGCATTCTAAAAACAATGATCAGCACACTTTTAACTTCTTCTTATCAATTTAGGGGTAGTTGTGTATGTAGGAAAGTTATAGCACATCACAATTTATCGCATGGCTATTTTTTAGAAGTAAAAGTTCTGGTTAAAATTGAGACATTCACGCATCATTTGAGACATTCCTTCTGTGCTGGGCACGAACAGAAGTGGAGGCCGCTCTACGAAGTCGGACCAGAACTTCCCGAGATGAGAAAGTGTCGAAATTTTATGCAAGCCTGCATCGCAGCAGTATGAGGTCATGTTAAACTAATAATGGTCTCGCACCAGCAGTCGGCTCGTTTTTGATATCAACATGCAAATTTGATCATAAAGCATATTCTTCGACATAGAGTTCGTATGTGACGATGACAGGTGCATGACCTTCACAGCACATCTATAAAAAGAAAATCTGTCTTGTTTATAAAAAAACTGTATAGCACTTTTATTAGGTGAACCAAAAGTTGTACAACAACAGTACCATTTATAGCACAGTTGTCTGTCTTAAGGGGAATCAATAACACATACCTAATCAATTATGTTTAACTGTGATAGAAATCTATTGAAGTTCTGTAGATGTCGCACATGCATCATCTGCACTTGTGCTAAAATGAGACATCCAAGCAGAGTATCCCCATGGCTTTTATCATGGAATATCGTGCAGACATTAAACAGATGTAAAATTTGGAAAGAAAAGCCTATAAAATCATTTTTTGGGCCAAATAACTTGTTTCTGATCAAGTTGATGATGCGTGCATGTTCCTTTTAAGTGCAGAAAGAAAATGAGGACTATAAAAACACAAATTATGCAGGCATTTTTTTTCTTTGTTACTGTCGACTACAGAATAGCATCTAAGTAGCATTTTTCTCGAGCATTTGTTGCTTGTGTATGTATAGGCTCTTCTTGAGGTATCTGTTGACCTTTGTACTGTCGTTGTCTAAGAAAAACAAAATTACCCTTTTATTTCATGGTTGTCTCGGTGGCCTATGATTGCAATGCTTTTCATCTGATAAAAAATGGATATGGGTTCGATCCCAGCTGCAGCAGTATCATTTCGACAAATGCAAATACTTGAGGCCTGTATAGTGTGCATTTCAATGCACATTAATACATCAGGTGGTCGAACTTATCTGGAGCCTTCCTTTAGAGCAGCTCTCGTCACCCGAGTTGCTTAATTGGGATGCTAAACCTTATAAACCAAACCGAATCTTTCTTTCTTGAAGTTATTCTTTCGTATGGCCCTGTTGTCTGAACATTTTTTTTCTCCTCCATGCCCTGAAAAATTTGCTGGCATCTGCTTTCTCGATGTCCTCAATCAAATTTTCTGGTCATTATTACTTCTATTCCTATTATCTACAAAGTTTAGCCATATTAAAGCATTTTCAAATGTTCTGTTTTGCTTGAAGCAAAAATGAGTACGGGGTGTTCTAGCTTGTCTAATCTGCCACGCATGCTCTGCTCTGTACAGAATTCGTGGTTGTTCACAATGGCATAATTACAAACTACAAGGACATCAAGCAGTTCCTGCTTCAGAGGGGATGTCATTTCGAATCTGACACTGACACGGAGGTCATTGCAAAATTCATCAAGCATCTCCATAGCACTCATCCAGACCTAAACTTCAGGGAGCTGGTGGAGCAAGTCATTCAGCAGCTGGTGAGTTATTGTAATTTTTCTTGATGAAATGGTCAAAGTACGACATCCGTGCGTTTCTCGGTGTCTCCTCATGGCCCCTGCACTCACATGGACCGTATTCATGGCTCATTTGTCATGCAATCTTCTCTAACCCTTTCCTGCTTGAAAAAAATATAACCAAAAATTGCTAGCTTTACAAAAAATTATTTGCTCTTTAAAAGTGTTCAGAAGTTAAACTGGAAGAATCTGAGTATTTGGCACACAAAACAGGCCCACATGTATGTGTGGGCTGGGCTTTGATTCATGTGATAGACTGCAGCAAGGAATATACTCGTAAGATTAAAAAAACAATAAGTTTCAGCACTGTGCAATTCAACAGTTAAACTCTCGGGGCCTCTATTTTTTTATATAGGATTTTTCATATACCAAACTAATTCACAATTCCCTTCGAGTTCGATATATCTGTGTTTGACTGTATTTGTGTTACTTTTGGCATGAAAACAAGGGTTCAAACACAATGAAAGCTTGCCTTTAAAGCTGACTTCCAATCATATGAATTCAAGCAGTTAAAAACTAATGCTCCTGTGGCTGCTGACTACATCTCTGATGGCAATATTAACAGTTATACTTGATCCTTTGACAGTATTTTGGCAATGTAACTTTATATTCTGGGAATGAAGAGTGGCATTGGTTTCCATATTAGTCGGTGCATCCTTGGAAGGGACTCAATGCCCCCTTTGTCTCGATTGACCAATACCTTAGTACCAAAGCATTCTTGTGTTCCATATCCTTTTAAAATGTGCTCATGACTAGCTAGAATACACTTTTTATTTTGTGACCAATCTTTATGGAATTTAAACCACTGCAGTGGGTGGAACTGCACTGGAACTCTAAGTTTACGCCCAAAGGGGGTCAGTCTGTGCAAAAGTTGTGCAAAACATGTCTTGTGCAAAAGTTGCAAGAGTACTAGGAAAAGTTTTGTTAGTATTACATGTGCTTCCTGCCTTTTTCTTAGATGTTTTTTCAGGTGCTGTGGCTAAAAACCACACGCAGAACACATACATGAGGCTCTGCACATATTCAATTGATTATCAGGAACGAGCCTTACAGAAACAAAGTGTACAACTTTTTTTGTGTGTATGCAGGATTTCATGCAACAGATAAGGTGGAAACACTCATGTTCACATGCTCGACATCAGATAAGTGTAATAGACCCGCCATGCTGGTCTAGTGGTTGTGGTGTTCGGCTGCCAACCTGCGGGTCACCGGGTCGAATCCCGGCCACCGCAGCTGCTTTTTCAGTAGCCACATTATTTTCTTTGGAGGCAAAAATGCTTGAGACTTATGTTAGATTTAGGTGCATGTTAAAGAACCTCAAGTGGTCAAAATGTCTGTAGTCTTCCACAGCAGCGTCTCTCGTTATCATATTAGTAATCGTATCATGGTTTTGGGATGTTAAACCCAAACAGTTATTATTATAAATAAATGTATTATATGACATAGTTAACATACAGTGAAGAGCAATGATTGCAGCTGAAATCTGAAGGTTTAAACTATCATTCAAAAATGTAAAAAGTCTGGAATATAATATGGGTCGTATAATGCTGCAAGTATGATTCTCATCTTGTTCAGTATCCAGAAATGTTAAGATTGTGCACATTGTACTATCTCGGGCTTCTTTACTCCCCAGTATGAACTTTATCATCCAGTGTGGTTTCTAAACAAGCTTTCTCTTCCTTAGGAGGGAGCTTTTGCACTGGTATTCAAGAGCAAGAAATTCCCACATCAGTGCGTTGCCACAAGGTAAGAATTTTTTTTGGTTAGCATTTTTCCTAGACTATGCACACACCCGTGACTAGCAGTTGGTGTTGAGTAACATGGGGGCTTCTAATTTAGGCGGGGAAGCCCCTTGCTGGTTGGCCTGAAGACCAAGTCCTATCTCTCAACAGAGTTCATCCCTGTTTTGTACAGCAAAGGTAGGAATGTCACACCCCCTAACTGTTAAACTTCTGCCTGATGCTCGGACTTTTTCGAACTGTTGCAATAACTTTGGCTGGTTTATGATCTGTGTGTGCCTGTATAACAGGGTCATCTATTGGTACATGGACATCTGGCTTGTGCTGTTATCCTCCTATATACCACTCATTTACTGGGAGTCGTCTAGTACATTGCATTTCTTAACAGCAGGGGCACTGTACATGTGCAGCGTGTGCAAATCCGCATGTAACCATTTTGTAAGCCAAGTGGCCGGATCTAATCATATCTTGGTTTTGAGATGTAAAATGCCCGACGTTATTATTAGGGGGCCAGATCTAATGTAGAACAAGCTTGCTCCATAATAGTGAACGGCACAGGGCAAACAAAAATGCATACATGCTCAAAATGTGGCATTATCGCTAGTATCGTCCTGTTTTGTTGCTTGCCCTTTTTTTGTCCCTGTTTGTCCTGCACTATTCTCTATGAATTTCATGTATAAAGAGGCCAAAGTTTCAACTGTGTCTTTCAAAAGGTAGTGTTAGCTTCGGACATAAATTCGAGGCCTGTACAACAGAGCCTCCTCTTGTCCTGAGGTACTTTACACCTACCCCATGTTCATCAAAATTTTGAGTTGAGCTACTAATTGGTGGTGCAGTGCAGAAATTTTCTAAATTTAATGGTTAATTTGTGTTTGGTGGCATATTTTGATTTCAGCCTTACAATCAAATTGAGTGTTCAAGTGAATAAGGACAATTAATTGCTTGATTGCCTTCTGAAGTTCAGATCACCACTCTAATTTTAGTGAGTACTGTATCATATGGGAAGTAAAATGCAGAATTTGATGAAATGTGTGGTTTTGAACAATTAAAATATGAACCGAATAATTTGTACATTATTTTTGTTTGGCGGTGTTGGAGAAGGTGATATTCAATGTTATATGTCGTTTAAACCAAACTGAGTCCCGGTTTATTAACCCTTTTGCGACGTTAAGTTTCTTTTATCGAGGCACAAGTTTCATTGCCCTTGTATAGCAGTGCTATTACCATGTTCTGACAGTAGATGACCCTGTGCATGTTGGCCACTGATAGATACAATGTCTGCAAGCATTTAGCTGAATGAATTATTTTTATCATTATATTGTTAGTCAAGGCAAATTAGAAAGATATATTTCATCTGTCATATATTACCAGGGTGTTGAACTGAAGACATGGTAACTTTTTTGCTAATAAAATAAATTTGGCTTTTTATCTTTGTCGAGAGAAAAGTTGTAGTCTGATATGGTTGAAAAGGACTCTCATTCAAAAAGTTCAGGGGAACTTGTAGTGCCATTTAATTTACGTCAAGGCTTTACTAGAGTGTTGCAAGTTAGAGTGTACTATCTACTTAAAGATAAAGTGGGCTTTTTTTTTTTTTTTTCAGTTTATATCATTAGTCACCCTCAGCCATATGTGCAAAGGCCGATAGATTCAGTAACTTTCAGTAATATGTCACTGCCATATTTCTTACAATACAAATTTTGAATGGTAGTGTAAATCATACAGGAACTACAGTATAGGGGTGATATGATGAATCGAAGTTGTATTGCAAGATTGTTTCTTTCATTTCATAGCTCACACAAATAGGCAATTGAGATAAAATTAATCAAAATAGAGCAAAAATTGAAATCTTGCTACCTGTCATTGCACTGAGGTAATGCTAATGCCATTAATTGTGTTCGCAAGCAATTGGAGAATGAAGCTGCTTTTGGGCTTGACAGCTGCCCAAGAGCAGTTGCAAAACAATTTGTAATGAGTCGTTTTTTTAGTAGAACATTTCATGAGATTGAAAGGCTAGGATATGTTTATTTTATAAAGATTTTTTTTCGACATTAGAAAAGGATAGAACTGAAGTTTCATACTCTGTTGCAGTAATCGAACTTTTTTTTAACGCAATTGGGACATGGCCAGTGAGTCGCCTTGTAGGTAACACAATTTGGGACTCTGTACAGTGCTCTGCTTTATCTTTCGGACCACATATGTGTGACAGCATAAAGTGTTCGCGCCACTGCAAGCAGAATGAGATAATGTTTTGCAAGAGATGCTGTCACTTTCAAAATCAAGTTTTTTTTTTTTCCTTGTTTTCTTTTTTTCTGTTGGCACTAATGGGACTAACAACAATTGTTGACTGATACTATTTGGGCACGAGGAAATATACAGAAGTGTCAAAGAGAATTTTTCTAAAATAACATGGTTTCATTTATATTGAAATAGTGTATGTAAACATATACTTTAGTTATATATATTGATATAGTTACGACTATTTATTGTTACTTTTTACAACATGTACTTTATTTGTGTACTAAAGGAAATATGATTTGTTTTATATCTTTTGCAACCAGCCTTAACAATGGATCACAGTACGTAAGTTTTGATAATTAGTGTGGGTTTTCCTTTAGTTGGACAAGTTTTAGCTTTTCTTTGCACATTTTTCTTGAAGACATCTTAATTGAAGGGGCCATGGGAAGCTGTTTTTTTTTTTACAAAGCTTCTTTAGTAGCTGTGTATCAATTATTAAACAAGTTCACTGCATCAAATGTTGAACCCTAAACTTTAATTAGCTCATATTCTGCAATACAGGTGAACCCCTTAATAAGAGACACTGATATAAGAGACAAATGGGTATAAGAGACACCAGTGTGCCTACAGTAAAATACGGGTTGGTAAGAAAATGCATACGAGGTACCCTCCTTACAAGAGACATATGTAAAAAATGAGAATTTCTGCCCGGAGCATGCCTATTATAAAAGGGTTTCATTCCTTTTCACCTGAGGTCAATGTTTTCAGCGTTTTATTGACTCACAAGTGTGCATTACATATGCTGGTAACGACTGAAAATAGCGCTAAGAAAACGGGGACACAAGACGAGGACACACGGCACAGGCGCTAATGCCGTGTGTCCTGTGCCGTGTGTCCTCGTCTTGTGTCCCCGTTTTCTTAGCGCTATTTTCAGTCGTCACAATGCACCAACAAGCCCAAATTTCGACATATGCTGGTAAATTCTTGGAATGTCTGTACAGAGGAATATGAATTTAAGCAGGATCACTAAATTACATTTTGATATGCCAGGAATGTCACTGTGACCGGGGGTTTATTATCTAGGATCTAGCAGTGGAAGACAAAACAGCAACAATATATTATTGTAAGTCAGGCTCAGAAGCAGTGGATAGAAAAAAATTTGTGGGCCTTCCATACACTTAGCTTGAACCACTGATGTTTGAGATGTCTCTAGAAATGAGAATGGAGTAGGGCTACCAGAGCTGGCACCACTGTCCCAACCGTTTCTCGTTTACTGCACCCTCGCTCTTTCTGAGCCTCTTGACTCAATAGTGGCATGCCGCTGGCCTGAAGATCATGGATCAAACCCCGGTCATGGTGGCTTGATTTCGATGGAGGCACAATGATAGAGTCCCGTCTGCTCAAACTTAGATGCATATTAAAAGAAACGCCGAGGTTCAAAACTTCCAGAGCCCTCCTGTATGTATAATCGTATGACAGTTTTGGGACATAAAAACAGTTAGAAGTGCCGTGTAGGGGCTAGTTGGTTGTACATGAACATAAAAACCCCAACAATCAATGGTAGCAAAAGTGGGAGGCCTGTCATCCTATGTAGAGCACCGAAACAGTGTTAAAAAAAGCCTATTGGTAATTCTCATATTCCACGTGTCCTGTATTTTTTTCGAACACTATATTCACTTGAATTTATTTGGCACAGGGAGTCTTATTAGTTTCCCTTTAATATGACTGCGTAACCACAAAGGCAGTCTCTGAAACTAGTCTTGCAAAGCTTTACTCGTTCATACAGCGGGAACCTTTGGAGACAATAAATAGTAATCTTATGATGATTGATTGATATGTGGGGTTTAACATTCCAAAACCACCATATGATTACGAGAGATGCCGTGCCGTATTGGAGAACTCGGGAAATTTTGACCACCTGGGGTTCTTTAACGTGCACCCAAATGTGAGCACACGGGCCTACAGCACACAATAGTAATGACTTCGGATATCGGTTTCCTTGCACATTTGAAGCACTATGATTACCACTTTTGGTTTGCTGTTCTTGTGGATTACAGGAATCTGAATTTTCACTTTTATTGGTGAATTGTTATTGAAGACCAGGAGTATGGTGCTACAAAATAACATTTCATCCATGGCCCCTTCAATTCACTGTGTAACTGACAGTCTAACTGATAGATGTCTTGCGTGCCTTCTTCTCTACCCCCCTCTCCATTTCTCAAAAGGTGGCGGTTTCTCTTTTGGCACTGGTGCTTTGACCTGTCCGCTGGGGTGTAGGTTCCTTTCATGCATTCCCACTCTTTTTCGCTTGTCTTTGTTTGCTTTATGGCATCTTACTAAATAGTGTCTTTGTGTGTTAAAATTTCACTTTGTGCTTTTTCTAACAGAAGTGAACAGTGCAATAAAGGGACAAATATTCAGGAAGACAAGTACGGCATTGAATAACTACCAATATTTATCATCACTTCATAGCAGTATTTAAGAAAAAAAACATGCTCGATGCAAAGATAGCATCAACAATCACTTTTGACACACTTAAGAAAGAAAAAAAAGGTGGAGGTGGGGAATGTTAACTGCCTCAGTGTACTTGTGTGTTACTAGATTTTTTGAGCTGCTACTTTTGTTACACAGTGCTTGCACCTAATATATTTTTGCTTTTGCCTTTGTTTATGATATTAAGGTCTGTTTTTTTTTACATAATCAAACATTGACCACTAGCTTTTTTTAGTCCCATAAAGCAAGTATCTTGTCAGATGAATTGTTCATTGTTATTTCACTTAACAGGCCTGTAAATTTTTAATTGTAATGTCATAATGTTCTTAATTCAGTTGCCTCACCCCGGCATGGCATCGAACAGTATTCTTACAGTAGTAATAATGAAAAAGGCAAGATGCTTACGTAGTTGTGTTAATGCACATTTATATGAAGGTTTTTTTTGCATGTCTCCTAAGGATGTTCTTGCAATGTTAGCCTAAAGTTGGACATATGTCTAACATTGAGTTTTAAACTACATTTCTTTATATTGTCTGACATTGTATGGCCAGAATGCTCACAAGAGTGAGTACACATGTTCCCAGGAGTGGCAATGTAGACATTGGTTAGGTTATGTGGGATAGCAAGACCCATATGAAAAGACATCTAGACATCTAGACACATTCTAGACATCTGCTCGCTTAATATTAGCTAGACTTTACACAAATTCTTGGTTCTCAGCACTGTGTTTGTCTACCCGAAATTTGTTCTTTGCACTGTTACACTACTGTTTCGGCAATGAACAACCATGATAATAACATGGCAAATGGTGTGTGTTGCCAAAGCAGTGTTGTCAACAGTTGACAGTGGGATGCAAGCAAGCGTTGCATAATGAGGTTGCACCAATCGTAATGCTGCTTTGTACATGCAGTCATTATTATTAATTTCATTTTGAATATGCATGGAGCAGCATATATGGACGTTTGCTTTATGCGGTGTAGTTTTGTTGTAAATGCCAGTCACTTGTGTTTATCCAGTATATCGTGTGTTTGTCGTAATCTCACATTTTGTATTTCTTTCATGGTGTTTCTGTTCCCAATGAGTTTGCTTTAGCCATACTTAAGTACTGAAGAAGGCCTTCGTAGCGTGCCGTATATCGAAAAAATTTCTCTTATCCAGTGGTAAGGTCAGAAGGAGAAAAACCTAAATGGATTGTTCAAGTGGTAGAATTTTGCTTGAGCAGTTGCACCAATTTTTTATCTCTCATCATTTCATATTGTGACATAAACACTGATGACATTGTAATGTTGCTTATATCATTGATATGATGTACAGTATGTACAGTAGTATCTCACTAAAATAATTTAAGTGAAATGGCAGTCTTTTAATTGGTTAGTTTTGCATATTCATAGTACAAAAAACTTCATTATTAAAACCGAGTTTTTTTTTTCGGGACTCTATAAAGAGAACCACAACAGGAAGCCCTAGAAATTTTGTTTATAGAGATTAAAAATTTGATATATTTTCTTGCAAAATGTGCCTTGTATCCCAAAAGACATCTCTAATGAATGGTAGCAAAGACAACTGTAGTAGTAAGAGCTATGTGTTTTTACTAGTATATTCACAGCGCATCCTTTAAACCCAAACTTCCGAAGCCTAATTTATGCAATAACTCTCAACCATATTTTTTAACTGCAGGACAATAGAGCTGATGCATGCCTATTGATGCTATGAATACTGATCAGCATTGAGATGGTGTATGATGGTCCTGCATGTATTTTTAAATAACCAAGAACCCTGTTAAATTCAAAACATTTTTATAGTTTCATGAGGTTTCATTTAACAAAAATCTGTAACTGTTGATTAAAGTATTTTCGTACAAGTGTGCAACTAAAAATATTTGTTAGTGCTACAGTATTCACCCATATTAGAACCTTCTTGGAATGTCTACACTTGAAATAGCTTTTAAAAACTGTTAGCTGCACTGAAGTATTGTCTGTTAGGCTTGTAAAAATTGTGTAACTGGTATTTTTATTAGCATCTTGTACATCACTGTCTAGTTTAGAACACTTAGTTTGTAATTTCGGTTGATAAAACATGTCTGATTGTGAAGCATTGTTTGTTTTTAAACTGAAATATTTGCTTAAGCTGGAATGTTTCGTCCTGCCATACATAAATGCTCATTCCGATCTTGCATTACTTTGCTTGCAAGTGCCTGAGCATGCTTCCTAGTATTTCCCTAGCTTTGAAAGATTACGTCAAGCTCTTGCATGTGTATGTGAGCACTCTTTTTGTGTGTACGTGCATGTGTGTGTATGTTGTGTGTCTTTTTCTCTTATCTGCTCTACCGTGCAGCTTTTTAAATTTGTTTCCCCCAGCCATGATATACCCATTTCTTTGCATGATCAATGTTCTTTTTCTATTTTCATTGCCTGCTGCTATCTTACTGAGCCCCTTTACGGCATGCAGAGTGTGGCAACCAAAATGAACAAGGTAGACACCATTTTCATGTTCCCTCTCTGACCTGTGCAAACCAACCACATCTCCTGCATGATGTTCTGTCAGCATCCTGTGTCCTTTGTGATGCTTACAAGTAACTGCCAGTTGCCTGACAAGTGTAACCAAAACTCCAGACAAGCTGCCAGTTTTGTTGATTCAAAGGCAGTGAGTACAGTTGGGATAAGCAAGCACATGAAAATATATTTTTATGTGCACCGTGTGTTTGTTAGCTTTAGATGAGTAAACATTGCTGTAACATAACAAATAATTCCGCAGTGAGCTTATGTTTGAGCTATAGATGAGGTATGCTTTTTTCTTTAGGTATGCATATTTTTTTTGCCCTTTCCTTGCATCTTGTCTGACATGAAAAATTATGGACTTTGCTAATTTTATATTTTACTTGCATATTTATATAAACACATTTAATATTTATGCTACAGCAAACATGGCTGCTCTGTAGTTTGACTGCATACAGTGTTGAGTGTGTTTGAAGGGAGCTAGTCATTTGAATTTTGCTTTTAGCTGTATGCTGTTGTACAAGGCAGTAAGTATTGTGACAAATATTGAACCCTTAGCATATTGCACATAACACATACCTTATGGAATTTGACCATTTTTCTTCAGTTTTTTTTTAGAGGAGTGTTACAGACAATGAGTAGCTGCATGGTTCACGATTGGTTTCTTCCAAATTCATTTTGTCAAAGCTAGCCTCCATGTAAAGTTTTGAGTTTCCAAATGCTCACTTAGTTTTTTTTTTTTTTTGGGTACTGCTAATGTGTGAGAACTAAAATGACCGTCAAGTCGCAAAGCTTTAAAAGCTAGAAAGAACAACTAAGTATGAATGAGTCTGTTTGGTGCTGAAAAAGAAATTGTGCTGACATCTATTAATGGGACAGTAAAGGCAAATATTAAGTCTATGTTGATGGCAGAAATAGTGGTCCAGAAACCTCGGAGTGCGACTTTTGTGCCAAGGAAATGCTTATTTTGAAATAAAATGGCAATTTAGTGGTCCGCATCTCGTTAACGCACTTCAAGTTCCCTGCCTGAAAGTGGAGTGGTCCATTTCACATTACTGCTGCCGTGCACAACGTTGCCCAGCTTTGCTGCGCGGTTGCCGACACTAGTAGCCGCTGAGCGAAAGTAGCGAGAGCCACAGCAGCAACAGCGGCCATTGAACAACTTTCCGCCATGGCTTCCGAGATGGCGGGCATGTTTGGTTTAACTGGGCCCCACTAGATCGAACCACCTATCCAGTTTAACCAGGCAAAAATGGAGCTTTTGAATAGCTTGTGCCATTCTTCATAGCAACGCCCGGTGTTTTTTTTTTTCTGTAAATCGGACAGAAATGGACAAGTAGTCTTGATGTGCAGAAGGTTCTTTTTTATATTGCAGCTATTTTGATTAGTTGGATAATCGGGGTGAACAGTAGAAGTGCCTTGACAGGCTGACTGATGTTTCGATATGGACCTATCATTATCAAAGGCGCCATGTCATCCTTGGCGTGTTAGTTTTAAGGGATTTAGTAGCACACCGCTTCTACTTTGCATGTTTTTTTCCCTTTCCATTGTTTTTTCCCACCCTCCGAGAACACTTTGAATCTCTACCACCTAACTTGAAATGAAGCGAGGGCTGCACTCCTCTGCTTTATAGTGTTTTTTTTTTTTTCTGATGGCGATTACCAACAGGGACACGTGCCATCACCAGGAGATGTCACTAATAACCCCTTTAAAGCTAACACGCCAAGAATGATACGGCGCCTTTGACAAAGATATGTCCTCCTATTGAACTGTCGGCCAGCCTGTTGGAAAAACTTCCACTGTTCACCCTGATTATCCCACTACATGTTTCCATCTGTCGGCTCCCTTTTTGATTTTAGCTAATTTGATTAGTAGTGACTAATTGTAGTCGAATCCTCTCACGTCATCTGGATCATTTCCAAAATATCTCACTCATGGGGCCCGTCGCGTGGTACATTAAGATTAATATCAGTAAGTAGGGCACTGCTGTTAATAATATTGCCATTTTAGACGTTGTCATATACAGAACTTTCACTCTGGCATAAATTATTTGCCTTTAGTGTCCCTTTGAGCACAAAGTGAAAGCTGTGAAATCGTAACTAAACAGTGTAAATTAGCATTGTAGGAATACTCCCTATGTTTTCACTGCATTCATTGCCTCTCCAAGTACAACTTATTAAAAAAAAAAAGTTGCTTTCTTGTTCTGTTACATTTATGGAGTGGGCATCTAAATAGCGAAAACTTGAACTAAAAGCTTCTGATACCATTTGGAGCCAATGTTCCCGAGTTCTATTGCTCAGTCACTGCAGTGTAGCCATGGAAAACCAGTGTGGTAGATTCCTTCACATTAGGCAGATGAAATAACTTAGTTTCTGAAATTTAAGTTGCAAGGTAGTGATGACAAGAGTGCCCCTTTATGTAACTGGACATGTCCACTGAAGTAACGCACGCGCATGCACAACAAAAAACTCCTTGCTGTCAGGTTTTTAAGAAATGTAACACACCCCTGTATAGTGGCATGCTATGTTAGAAATCTGGCAAACCAGTTTATAGTACCTGTAACATTTGTACCTTGCCTGATATTGTGTGTATATGTGCCTGCTGTGTTTTGTGCATGCCTACACTGTCTGATAGTTTGTGACCAATGTTGTTGTCTCTCCTGGCCTCGCCTGCCTCCCAAACAACCCTCACTCTCTCCTGCCCTCCTCTTCTTCTGGTCTTGGGTGCAGAAAAAGACGACACCCAGACAGGTAGTAGATTCTGCTTCTGGTCAACCACCACTTCCATACTGTCTTTCGAGTCTATTCGTTGTAGAGGGAACTTGCATGTAGCTTCAAGAAACTAGCTAGCATAAACTGCATTCTGTGGTCCAGTAAAACCTGGCAAAAGAAAAATGTCTGTTGCAGCTGCGGCCCATTTTGCAATGTTGCATGTCTGCTTCTCAGGGCAAATTGTTTGGCCAGGGCTGATACATACAGCAAGGAAGTGAGTTGTGTAAGTTTGATGCATTGTCAAAGGGAGCCTGAAACGATATTGAGGATATAGTATAGATGCTTCAAGTCACCTGGGCACATATGGGTGCTCTGCATAAACTGTTTAATTTGTTAAGCTTTAAACATCTACTCAAGGAGGCATCACATAGCCACAGCTTGAAAAAAAGGCAACGTTTAGGTATTCCTATCTTTCTTGATTTTTCTCACTGTTGTAAAATATTTGTGAGCAGGTATTCTATAAGGAAACTACATATGTCTAAACAGTACCCTATGGTGAGCTATGAGATACCATTGAAGCACTGGACTACCGTAAGCTGTAGTTCCCTGTACAATGAATAGGAATCGATAGACTCTCATACGAACCTTACCGGCCAGTCCTCAATTGTATACATATCTATATATGTATGCTTTGGTGCAAAATTGCCCTTCGATATTAATGATTATTCTAGTAGTACACATGTAGCATCTGTTGGCGGGAATAGAGGTTCATTGAGGCGTTAAAGGTGGAGGAAGTGCAGCTGAGCCATCTAAGTGCAATAGATAGGGAATGAGTTCACAAATTGCTTATCTTTTTTTCATGCTTCTATATAAGGATTATTTTGCAATCTAATTTAACTAAGAACTGGTGTTTATAAATGCTGATTGGTCTATAAACAGCATAAAGGCTAGCATAGCAGCAGCTATTGAAGTTTTCCTAAGATTTTCATATTTAAGGGAAATGTCACCTTCACGACTGGATAAATAGTTTGAGAATAAGCCAGCAATATTACTACCAAATTTAATTTTTGCTCGTGTAAATGAGGGCGAAGCTTGGTGTAAACTCATTGAAAGTGGGTCTATACTTGACTACTTGTGTTTTAAAAAACCTGCATGTTTCTCTCATCTGAAAAATTATAATTTACATGTTTCTTGTGGGCACTGCCATGGAAATCACATTGCCGTCTGAAACTTGAGGGTGGTTCCATTCACGGGAGTTATACATAAAGGCGGATTCAATAGATGGGGCAGCTGTATATTCTCTAATATATGCATCTTTTTTTTTAAACCTTTTTGAATATTTGTTTACATAAGAAAGCAATCTGTGTAGATGGCTTGAAAGCATTTTAAATGGGCTTGGCCAGTAGGTTTTCCATCTTTCATAATCACTTTTGGGCATTGTCCCTGTTTTCCTTATGCATGCAAGAGTGTGAATGCTTCGTATGTGCACTCTTTGGTCTTGTTACCTTATGTTTTTTTTAGTAGAACTTCCTGCTCGTGCTACCAATACCTTTTTTTTTTTTTGCTTTCCTACCACCGTGAAAAAGTTAAGCATGTATTTTATGAAGTTGGCTTGTGGAGAGGATTATTGTTATCCTTTAGCAATGTTGTGTATAGCTTTTTTTTTTTTGCAAGTCAGTTTCTTTATTTATTTATCGTGAATATTTATTTATCGTGAAGCTAGGCCAGCGTTACTTGACTCTAGGTAACTATGTATAGTGTGAGCTCAAAGCGTCATCATTTATAGGTCTTTTTTATGGGAGGTGGTGCTTTTGTGGTTTTGGTGGAAAACAATGCCATTTGGGTTCCTCTTGGGGGTGCTGAGACCAACCAAAACATTTTTTCCGGGTGTCTGGAGAGGTGCGACTTTGACAGTGGAGATGCAGGTTGTTTTTGTGGGCAGACACGGTAAACTAACTGGATGAGGCTTGCACCCCATACGTTTGTTTTCCACCATTTATAGTGCACACCTTGCTTTATGATTAGTTAGTTCTTTATATATGAGGCCAGCGTAGGTCGTGCACAACTTAATGCAAGCACTTATTTCGGACTCCGAAAGGGTTGATGCAGCAGAATCGCAACTTACATACGATGTTCTCACAAAAGTTTCACATTCTAAACATTTTATCTTGTGCAATTTACCTTCCCCCTAAATGCTTTGGAAAATAGACCACCGCCCCAGAGAGGCCCACCCACCTTCAAACGCTGGTGGTCTGCATCGTACTGCATCAACAACAGAATTTGGCCCACCTGGAGATGACAAGGAGATTGAATATTTCTTTGCATCAGATGCCAGGTATGTGCATTAACAGACATGCCTGTCCTTTTCTTTCTGGAATTCAAAAGTTTTTGAAAGAATGAAAGTGTTTCTCATTTTTTTTATAGCAAGACTTTAGTGCCTGTAGACTGTCGAGACTTCAGTGTAGTACAACGTATGCTATATGATATGCTTGAATAATTATTACAGTTCTTGCATCACACTTATCCCCACTTCTGCAGGTCCATCTTCTTAGTGCTCTTGTATTGGCATTATTAGCTAATAATTATTTTTAAATATTTTGTAGAGAATGGACAGTGAGTTGATCAGCCTGTAATTTTTCAAGTCCTTGATGTCTTCTTTTTTATGGATTAAGATGATGTTGGCATTCTTCCAATATTCTGGTACCCTTCCCGTCAAGAGACACTTCGTATATAAGGTGGCCAGTTTTCCTAACACAAATTCTCTGGCATCTTTCAGCAGGTTCGTTGTTACTTTATCCTCACTAGGATAAAGTGCTTTGCCTCTTTGCATTCCTTTTAGGGCTTTCCTTACTTCCCCTGTCATTACTGATAAGATGTCAAATTCCTCAGGGCTATTTTATTGCTTCTTACGATATCATCTTAGATTTTTAGGCTTCTGTACAGCTCAAAAACTCCTTCACCACCTCAACTACCCTATTCATATCAGTTATGACATGGCAATGTCATAACCAACATGTTTATGACCCTACATAAATATACTGGAAGAAATCCACTGCATATCCACAGCCACTATAGTTCTTCATAAATAAAGTGACAGAATCCCAATAAAAAAAGGTGGAAGGCTGGGAGACAAGATCTCTCCAATGCTATTCATCGCGTGTTTATAGGAGGTGGAGGGTATCTTGGTAACCTGCGGATGTCCAATTCACTAATGCACTGATGGCATTGCCTTGATGAGTAACTCGGGAAATAAATTGCAGCTCACAATTACTGAACTGGACAGGGAAAGCAGAAGAATAGGTGTGAAAGTTAATATGAATAAAACTAAAGTAATGTGCAACAGTCTCGGCAGAAAACAGCGCTTTGCAATAGGTGAAGAGACGCTGAAAGTTGTAAATAAATATGTCTACCTAGGACAGGTTGTAACCGTGGAGCCGAACCATGAGAGGGAAATAATTAGAAGAATAAGAATGGAGTGGATCACATTCGGCAAGCATTCTCAAATCAAGGGTGGTAATCTGTCACTAACCTTAAAGAGGAAGGTATATAACAACTGCATCTTGCCAGTACTTGCCTACAGAGCAGAAACCTGGAGGCTTACAAAATGGGTGCAGTTTAAATTGAGGATGATGCAGTGAACAATGGAAAGCATAGTGGGTCAGGGAACAAACCGGGGTTAAGGATATCATAGAGTTGATATCAAGAAGAAATGGGCATGGGGCGTGCACATAGCACGTAGGCAGCATAACCGCTGGTCATTAAGTGTAAGTGATTGGATTTCCAGAGAAGGCAAACACTCGAGGGGGAGACGGAAGGTTAGGTGGTTAGGTGAATGGAAAAAAGAGCTCGTTCAAGTAAAAATATCACAAAAATTTTTAGGCCTTCTTTGTATATGTGAGGTCTCTATTGTTGCTTCTATAATATTTATAATTGCTTTAAAAAGCTATTTAGTATAGATAATATGGGTAATTCTATAATGTAATCACATGATTGTATTCAGCAGTCCATATGTAGTGCATCTTCCTTTGCAGATAACTTGGAACGTATGCCATATACTTACTGCATAATATCGTCATTTTTATTGCAGAATGACCTTTTTATTTTGTTCTTTTTCAGTGCCATCATAGAACACACAAACAGGGTGATCTTTCTCGAGGATGATGATGTTGCAGCTGTTTCTGAAGGGCGTAAGTTATTGCATTTTAGTCTTTCATGAGCAGTCGAAAGTTTGAGCTGGGGTTATGACGTCAGTCTGCTCCTTGTGATTGCGTTTCAAATCTGTCACACTCTCCATGTTTGCTTAGTGGCCACGACGATGTACTTATTAATAAGCACATGGGCATATGTTTCAATTCGTCATCATGGCCTCGTTTCACTGGAGGGCAAAATGCAAAAATACATGCTTACTTACTCCTTAGATTTAAATGCCCATTGAAAGACTCCAGCTAGTCAAAATTAATCTGTAGTTCCTCAGTATGACATAGCATCCCTCCATATGTTAGCAAACTCTCTCATGAGTCTACTAACTCAAACTTGAATCAAGCCATAGGTCCGAGTCTGAGTGAGTACCCGGGAGTTATATTTTGATGAGTGCGAGTCTAATAGAGAAAAATTTTAGAGAGTCTGAGTCCAAGTGAGTCCGGTTGAGGAAGCTATTGGTGAGTCCGAGTCCAAGTGAAGTCATAAACGCATCATATATTTTTTTAGTGGGTCCGAGTGAACTCCACCTTTAACTGCTGACATATGGTCCTATCTACTCGCCTATCAACATTACTATCAGCCATATATCTGCTTACATTTATTCTCACATCTATTCAGATACCTCGTTGCATTAGCATGCATCCGCAACCTCAATGTTTATTGATCAGTGGTGTGATTTCGGGGAGGGGGGGGGCAGAGAGTACCAGATTTAGCCTTGCAAACTCTTTCATGGGACGTTCTTGATAGAAATATTTTTTCCAAGTCTCGTATTTCATTGCCACCACTGGTAACTCTTATTTAAAGGTACAAGACCAAAAGGTGCATTGTGGAGCGTCGATTGTATGCAATATTGCCATTAAAGAGAATTACACAATGACCAGAAAATCTCATTTTACGCCAGTGGACTCGCCAGTTCACTCATACAGGCTTATTCAGGCTTAGGTCAAGCCGTGAGTCTGAGTGAGTCTGGCTGAGGAATATGTTGGTGAGCTTGAGTCTGAGGCAGTCCGGTTCAAAAAAGGTTTAGTGAGTTTGAGTGAGTAAGTGTGAGTAGAGAAAACTTCAGTGGGTCTGAGTCTGAGTGGGCTCTTGGACCAAAATATATTCCTTTAGTGTGTCAGAGCGAGTTGAGATAGCTTTGCTGACCTGTGCATGCCTCATAATCAGAATGTGGTTTTCGTGCATGAAATTCCAGCCGTCTAGTTTTTAATTATTTCCATTCTGTCAGTTAATTCTTTGTGCATCAGTAATAATGCTTTCCAAGAAAAAGGCCGAAAAGAGCATTCTGGCTCAATGTTGGAATATTTAAGCTATTAGATTCCTCTACCTATGTAATTATAGTAACCTTTGACTGATTAACTCAAACCTCGACATAAGCAAGTGAAGAATTTTTCATTATGGATACAGTATTAAGAATATATGTTTAGAATGAATTTTCAAATATCATAAATATCTTTGTGGCAGATCTGGCTGTTGTGAGGTTTGAGTGAATAATAGGATTGCGGCCTCTAAGTTGTTCTTGTATAGTATATTATTTAGGTTGTGTTGTCACGAGAGGTTATGGTGTCACGAGAACTGCATCACTTTGTAGCATCAATACTTTTTGCATTCATGGATTCTTAGGCTTCACTTAGCAATGATGCTGACATATGCAGAAAGCCTTCTTGAAAAAATAAATACTTGAAATAATTGTAAACATCTATAAGTACTATAAAAGCCTTACAAAATTAATACTTCTACCTAATATGCTTTGTACTTTTGATAGGTGTCGTCATAGGCGATAGTAAAACTGCCAGCAAGTTACTTGGCAAGCGTGTGACACTCAAGGAAACTTCCAAGCCCCTACTGGGCTGTCAGGATGCAATAAACACTTGCATTGATTGCATTGTATGTTAGGCAGTTGTGTGCTTATCTGACCAAGAGCCTTTCGAAATTGAAAGTTCGTATCTCCTTGCTCATGAAGTTCGATGATTTAAGTCGAGGCACGAGTCGAAAAATGGAACTTTTGTGTCAAAAATAACATACTTTTCATTTGTATCTGCTGTCACAAGTTTAGTTTCTCTACTTTTACGATAAAAAACAACTGAAAATTGTAATTAAACTCGACGTGGGTTAAAATTGCTTTTAGAGAGCACAAGGTGCTACTAAATCTAAGAAGAGCTCGTTAATTGTCTAGTCTCCTGCAAATTGTCACTGGGCTACTTGCCATAGCATTCCGTGCGAGTTCACTAAAGCCACACACTCAAAATAACAATGCTGAGCTCCCATGATGGGAAAATCATTTTAAAAACATATCTGCTGCATAGATGAGCTTTCACTCATACCTTTAAAACACATTTTTCTCAATATTCAATTTTGGCTAACTTTTTGAATTTGGATTTGTTTTTGATATTTATGATAGCCAGGTTGGGATGAAATTTCGCTCACATATTTCTTAGAGACACTAAGGGTGAATAATTTATGAGAGGGAAAGATTAATGTTTAGGAACATCTAAAACTTCATCTTTACAACATGTAATGACATGTAGCTTCTCCATTTATGTCTGATTCGTGGAAAAAATAATATAAACCGCTTGGCATTACCATAGGTATTGGCGTGGTTGGTTCAAATAGTTTTGCTTTCTCATGGTTAGGCTGAATAGGGGGTGCCATCTAGCGGGGCCCACTTGAACCAGACAAGCAAAAAGTGTTTATTGCAGAAACATCTTGCATTAGACTTCTGGTGTGAATGCATTGCAGTGACGTAAATACAAATGAAATTAAATATGTTTTCTTTTGAATCTTTATTTTTTGCCCCTCAAAAACACTAGACAAATACAAACGTGTCCATGACTGTGGTTGCACGAAGCATCACTAGATGTCCACACCATTGTCCTGCAACCCTCCATTCCTAAAACCCTCTGCGTATGTCGGTGGCCGCGCAGTAAAAATGGGCAACGTTGGTTCGGCAAGGCAACTGCCAGGTCGAAAAGGTCCGTTTTCAGGCGGGGAATTGAAGTGTGCCAACGACGTGCGGACCACTAAAACTTGGTTTTATTTCAAAATAAACATTTCCTTGGCACAAAAGTAGCACTAAGGTTTCTGCGTCGCTATTTCAGCCATCAGTGACTTAATATTTGCCTTTAGCATCTCTTTAACATGTGCACAGTGCAAGTATTTTCTTTAAAACTTTATACCACCTATAACTATTATAAACCATAAGTAAGCAATTAGTATGGGCTGAGCATATAAAGATTTCTCACATTTGAATTTTTCCTGTTTCTTAAAATGTCTTATACTTTCTGGTTAGTTATTTGTATTCTACAGTTAAGTTTGTATTCTACATTAAGAATCATTAATGGCTCAGAACTATAAAAATTTAGGGGCAAAAAAAGTGTCCAAAACGAACTAAATTTTACATGCTGTCATGGTACAAGATAAAAACTATGCAACTTACTATAGAACTGATTGCATAATTTAAATCCTCATAATGTCCTATGTATAAAGTGAAAATTTCAATACCCATGCTACAGATTGAAAAAACTTTTTTCAGAGTAGCATCTTCCCTTAAGTGCATCGTTAATTGCGCTGAAAGTCTTGCTGTCCCCAATAATGTGGTTGTTCTAGAAAAGTAATATTAGTAAGCTTATTTCATGGTATTTGTGCTATGTATTTGCATGTTTTGTTCTTCCAGATTTGACCATTCACAGATTGAAGAGGACTCTTGATGAGAATGTAAACCGTGAAATCATCACCCTGAAAATGGAAATCCAGCAGATCATGAAAGGTGATAGCTCAAGAAAGCATCTATGGTCACAAACACAAGTTTAGCAACTGCAACTGCAAAAAATGTTTTTTTCTAGCACAGCTCCACAGCATAGATTTGCTTCAATGCATTGCATTTATCAAACATGTGCACTTAGATTGGGCCATAGTTTCTTGAAATCAACTAGAGGAGACTCTGGCACTGAGATAATTCAGCTATCATGGTAATGATGGGCTCCCCGCAGGGGCGCCTGCGCAAGTAGGCGTTTGGTGTGTAGCTACACTACAGACCCGAGCTAACGGGGGAGTTTCTACTCCCTCCCACGCCTAGCCGTGCGAGGCTTTGCCGTGTCCGGCGAAAGGGGAATCCTGGGGGTTGAGCCAACGCTGGGTGATTAGACCTTTAAGGCCCCCCGGCAGAGGCAACACACCCCTTTGGCCCCAGCTTCACGTAGACGGCACCCCTGGGCTGACCCACCCAGGGGAAATCGAAATCGGCAGTCGCCTTTTCCTATCTCTCTCTCCCTACATCTTGGTCTTTATCTCTCACTATTTATCTGTCCTGTCTTCTACTCTCTTCTGCCTACTTCTAAACTTCCTGGCGGCTAGGGTTAACCCTGCGCAAATAGCCTACCTTGGTCTAGGCGCATTGGGTTATAGTAGCATTGTACGGCTGGCGTCTGCTGGTTTTAGCATCCGCAAACTTGTAGCGTCCCCTCGTTGGGCTCCGTGGTGGGTGGCCGCCAACACTTCTAAAGAAAATTAAACTGGAATGCATAGAGCGTTTCTCTTGTTAAGTGATCGTACTGCCTTAAAGCGCGTACGCACCGAAGACTTTGGCTTTTTTAATCGATCAAATGAAAACTTTCCCCATTTTCATGTTATACATAGTGAGATAAGCAGCAAGCAAGCCAGAACTGTATCCCCCTTTGTAGTAGCCAGATGTCTCGCAGAAACTCTTGGAGCCGGGTACAAATTTACCAAAATGGCCAGCGGAGACCTCCTCCTTGAAGTTCGAGAAAAAGAACAGTTTGAAAAGCTACAGAATCTTTCAACTTTTGGTGACACTCCCATCACTGTAACGCCACACAGATCTATGAACACAACTCGTGGAGTAGTATCTGATGCTGATTTGCTCAGCTTGACCGAAGAGGAACTTCTGGAGGGGTGGAAGAGTCAGAATGTGACCAATGTACAAAGAATCATCATTAGAAGAGACAACAAGGTAACACCAACGAAACACCTAATACTCACGTTCGCTTCCAGTAATCTGCCAGAAAGTATTCAAACAGGGTACACGAAGACATCGATCAGACCATACATACCTAACCCGCGTCGTTGTTTTAAATGCCAGAAGTATGGCCACGGCTCACAAAGCTGTCGTGGTCACCAAACTTGTGCACAATGTGGAGTGTCAGGCCACAATTCTGACAGTTGTGAAGAACCATCTCACTGTGTGACCTGTGGCGGAAATCATGCCGCATACTCACGGTCTTGCTCATTTTGGAAAAAAGAAAAAGAAATTATCACATTGAAAATTAAAAAAAAATATCACATTCAAAGAAGCAAGACGAAGAGTGTCGCCATTTTACGGCGCTACATATGCTGATGCGGCGTGTCAGGGGGCAACGCCGCACCAGCCCTCGCCACCCCTTGGCCAGCGCAGAGTGAGCCGTCGGCTGTGGCGCCTGCCCCCAAGGCGGCAGTTGTTCAGTCTACTCCGCCTCCTAGCGAATTGAGGCCGGAGACTCCAGGGTCCTCTGGTCTCAAGGCCTCCTCTCACCAGGCGAGGCCTAAAATCCAAACGACCAGATCGCATGTGCGGGCACCCAGTGCCTCTGAGGAGGCAATGGATACAACAGTACCCTTGGTACCAAAAGTGCGGCGCGGCTCCTTGGAGCTCGCCAAGAAAAATAAGAAACCAATAACGGGGCCGGACGACCGTCCTGCCACCTGAATTATTGAGCTCACTCCAACACAGGATACTCTTTGTACACACAGCAGCATCTCTCTTGTTTAAATATGCAGACAGAAATATTACAGTGGAACATCCGAGGCCTTCTTCGAAACCTCGATGACTTACAAGAACTCCTCCATGAACACAACCCTAGAGTGCTGTGTGTACAAGAGACACACTTGAAATGAACAAACACAAACTTTTTACGTAACTACGTAATCTTCCGAAAGGATAGAGATGATGCCATGCCACCATCCAGTGGTGTAGCGATTATAGTTAGTCAAGGTATAGCATGTACACAATTACCCCTTCAAACTTCCCTCGAGGCGGTGGCTGTCCGAGCAGTTATTCTAAACAAACTCGTCATTGTCTGCTCTTTGTACATACCTCCGCACCACCGTCTTGGAAAACTTCAATTCCAGTCTTTAATAGACGAACTACCTGAACCTTATCTGGTCCTTGGGGACCTGAACGCACATAATGGTTTGTGGGGTGACTCTCGCTGTGATGCACGAGGTCGTCTCATTGAACAATTCCTCATTTCATCAGGTGCTTGTCTGTTGAACAGGAAAGAGGCAACATATTATACCCTTGCCAACAAAACTTACTCTTCCATAGACCTCAGTATCGCATCTCCTTCACTTGTACCGTTACTTCAGTGGAAAGTCATAAATAATCCATACGGAAGGGACCATTTTCCTTTAGTTTTGAGTACACCAATAATATATGAATGGCCTCCACGTGTTCCCAAATGGCTGGTAAACAAAGCCGACTGGGAACAATTTCAAAAGCTTACTCACTTAAATTGGACTGACATATGCGGATTAGGCATAGATGAAGCTGTGCAGTACTTCACGGCTTTTCTTACTGACGCAGCAGCCAAGTGCATTCCACAAACATCTGGACTGCCCGGCAAATGACACGTCCCGTGGTGGAACACCGAGTGTCAGAATGCGCGAAAGGAACAAAACAGGGCATGGAGGTTGCTGCGGAACTCGCCGACAGCCGAAAACCTTGAGAGCTTTAAGAAAATAAAATCTCGAGGCAGGAGAACACGTCGGCAGGCCAGAAGAGAAAGCTGGCACAAGTTTTTATCAGGGATAAATTCATATACACAAGAGGCCAAAGTCTGGAACATGGTTCGTAGGGAGCAGGAAGACAAGTACACTCACTCCCACTCGTAAACACACAGGGTGACAGCCTGGAAGATCAGGCGAACTTCCTCGGTGCACACTACGAGCAAGTGTCTAGCTCGTCACACTATACTGAAGCTTTCCAAATATATAAAGCAAGGATAGAAAAGCAGAAACTAGAATACAAGTGCACAAATCACGAGGTATACAACCAACCTTTCAACTTAGCTGAGCTACAAACATCGCTAAACTCGTGCAGTAATGCTGCCTCAGGCTATGACCGTGTCACGTATGAATTTCAAGTTATAGGCCCATCGCACTAACCAGCTGCCTTTGTAAATTTTTTGAAAAAATGATAAACCGCCGACTTTTACATTTCCTTGAAACACACAATCTGCTCTACCAGTTCCAGTGTGGGTTTCGAGAGGGTAGATCCACATCCGACCATCTGGTGCGTATCAAGGCACAGATCCGAGACGCTTTCGTCCACAAACAATACTTCCTCTCGGTGTTTCTCGAGATCGAGAAGGCTTACGACACAACATGGCGTTTTGGCATATTAAGAGACTTGTCCCTGGGTGTGCGCGGTAGAATGCTATCCATAATAGAGAGTTACTTGTCCAATTGGAAATTCCGTGTCTGTGTGGGCAGTATTCTCTCCCAAACATTTGTGCAAGAAACGGGAGTACCGCAAGGTGGTGTACTTAGTTGTACACTTTTTATTATCAAAATGAATTCCTTGCACCTGTCCATCCCCCGCAACATGTTCTATTCCACATATGTCGATGACGTCCAGCTTGGCTTTAAGTCATGTAACCTAGCAATGTGTGAGCGGCAGGTTCAGTTAGGTTTAAACAAGGTCTCCAAATGGGCAGAGGAAAACGGATTCCGGCTGAACCCAGAAAAAAGCACGTGTGTCTTGTTCTCCCGAAAGAGAGGCGTGCAATCAGAACCTGACATTGAACTGAATGGTCAACGTCTGTCTGTCGATGCGGAGCATAAATTCTTAGGCCTAATCTTGGACAACAAGTTGACCTTCGTACCACTCATCAAGTATTTAAGAACAAAATGTTTAAAAGCCATGAATGTTATAAAAGTGTTGTCACGTACTACGTGGGGTAGTGACAGGCAATGTCTCATGAACCTGTATAGAAGCCTCATTCGCACCTGCTTACATTATGGGGCCGTTGTTTATCAGTCTGCGACTCAAAGTGCTTTGAAGATACTGGATCCCGTGCACCATTTGGGCATCCGCCTTTCTACGGGTGCTTTTCGCACCAGCCCCGTAGAAAGCCTTTACGTTGAGTCAAATGAGTGGTCACTTTATCTGCAGAGAACTTGCATGTCCTTTGTTTATTTCCTTAAGGTGAAAGCAGACAAGAAGCACCCCTCATACTCTACTATCAATGATTTGTCGAGCTCCATTCTGTTTCAAAACAGGCCTTCGATGAGGCAGCCCTTCTCAGTTCGCGTGAAGGGTCTAGCTGACGAAACTGGAGTGTCACTTGAACACAGTTTAATGGCTCCTGTAGCATACCCACCACCGTGGCAGTGGCAGACTATAGACTACAATGTGTCTTTTCTAGAAGTTACAAGACATGCGCCTATTGCCCATATTCGAACATACTTTCTGGAACTTCAACACAAATACACACGTCCTGAGTTTTTTACAGATGCCTCCAAGTCTAACTCCTTTGTGTCCTACGCTGCTGTCGGCCCATTCTTTTCGGATGTTGGCCCTCTACATCCAGGCACAAGTATCTTCACAGCGGAAGCTTATGCGATACTTGTGGCGGCTAAACACATCAAGCAATTACAAATACAGAAAGCAGTAATTTATACGAACTCCCTCAGTGTGGTAACGACTCTGCACACTCTTAAAAAACAAAAAAGCCCAGTCCTTGTCTCGCTTTACTCCATTTTGTGCACACTCTACACACTCGAACAACATGTTGTAGTGTGCTGGGTGCCAGGGCACCGTGAGATCCAAGGCAATGTGAGGGCGAATCAGCTCGCTGCATCCGTCCACAAAAGCACTGCCCCCACACCCATATCAATGCCGGCCCTTGATCTTAAGCCGTCTGTCAAACGAAACCTCAGGGACTACTGGCAGAGCAAGTGGGATACACACACACAAAACAAACTACACATTATTAAGCCACACCTTGGTCATTGGCTGCCAGTATCAAAATCGCGTCATACAGAGGTAATACTAACGAGACTCAGGATAGGACACACATACACAACACACACATATCTTTTGTCCGGTGGCGATCCACCATTGTGTGACAGATGTGGTGAAGCATTAACAGTCCTTCACATGTTAATCCACTGCAAACAGCTAGAAACTCTAAGAAAACAACATTTTCTATTACTCTACCGACAACATATACCTTTACACCCTGCAATGTTCGTCAGTAGGGAACCGCTTTTTAGTCATAAATCATTGTTAGCATTTTTAAAAGAAATCCATAATTTTCATATCATATACCCGGGCATTCCGTAGCACGACCTCTCCAGAGAGGTTTTTGCTGCGATGGCTACACAAGAAAGCACTTGCCTCACGGCCCTTGGACGCAAGGGTATGAACGAGTGAGGTACTTGTGCTAATGCCATACATGTCCACTATCGTTTTTCATTATCACCAACTTTTGTCACCTATTCACACCACACACACCTTTCACGGCATGGTCATGATTTTATTACTTGTATGTTTTTACCCGCCTTACCGCGAGGAATTTTATGGCCCTTATACAGCCGCTTATCGCAATCATTGCCCATACTTTTGTAAGATGAAATGGCCCTTGCGCCATAAAACATAAAACTTCATGGTAATGATGGGCAGTACGTGAATTTGCCTAGTGTTTGTGCTTGTGGGCGGCGAACGCGCTTGTGGCTTCATTTATTGCTGCGTTTTGGTTTTGTTTCAAATGAAAAAATGAACAGTCTTGAACTTCGCGACCCGATTTGAATTCATGAGCTTAAAAGGTTAGGTTGGTGAAGTGTAACTGCCGAACATTTGCCGATTGTTATTTCATGAGAAAGCAGCTCCAAGCCATACGAAGCCAAACAGAGCATAAAGTACGAAAATTAAGCAAATCTATGTCGTACCCATCATTCCCATGCTCGTTGAAGTGCCATGCATTGCAGCTCCCATAGACATTAGCACCAGAGTTCCTTCTAGTGTATATACGGGGAAACTCTATGGGTTGGGCCACCCTGTTTCAGTGAACATACCTGGTCTACTAAAAAAAAATTTCTTCGTGGCATGATTTATTCTTTAAACTGTTGCTCACGACTGAACTTTCAAGTGTTGGGCTGAACGAATGTTGCATTTATGTTGAAATTTTAATCCACTTACGAGAATTTTATAATAATCACAAGACATAATACTTATGGCACCGATACAGTTGTTTCAACTCTGATAACTGGTTAAAAGGAAGCACTCTAATAGCATCAATTGTTGACACATTGCCACAATTTTGCAAATCTTATCTAGTGCTACATAACATTTGGCAATGTTCAGTGATGTTGCACCAGTGTTTATGATCGAAGGGTTGCAGAAAGTTTGAAACAGCATTAGTAGTAGTAATAGACTTTTATTCAGCCAAATTTACAGGCCGAGCATTTCGACCGCCTGTGCGATCAGTCGACGCTGTTCTTCTTCCCCTTCGGCGCCGATCCAGTCGAGCCAGGAGGTGATGGAAAGGGATGGGGGAGGGTAATAGCTGGATTGCTGAGCAGTTGGGCAGTAAAGCAGGCAGTGTGACAGGTCAGCGTATGGGGAGGGACAATTAGGACAGCAGGGGTTAGACCTATATTTATAAAGGAAAAGGCGAGAGGGGGTTATCGGGCAGTTCATTTCATCAGCCTCGAGCACAGTGAGTGATGGATGAGGGGGAGGGTAAAGACGCTAGCATTACAAAGGCATTACAATAATGTGGCTGTCTATCTACAAGATATACGTGGTCGGGGTTGCAAACTATACTGCCATATTCAAGAATGGGGTGCGCTAGAGTTTTATAGGTTGCTAAATTAACCGATGCAGGAGCCGCAGTGAACCTTCTGCTTAGAAACCCGAGATGTAACAAGTATTATACTTACTGCAGTGTAGCGACAGTTCTTTTCTAGATTTTTGCTGTTTAAAGACGACCCTCGTGTTACAGTTAAATTGAAACTGAATAGCAAAATATTATTTTTTTTCCTCTATATTATAAACAATCCTGTCATTTTACAATCGTGTCTGGTTATGATTGATTAAATATGGTACCTGTAAATGATAGCCTAGACACTGCTAATACAAATATATATAGGATGAATAGGTGGCAGTCAATAACTTTTATTATTGGCTCCAAAATCCTTCACTATTTTCTGTTATGAAAATTTAAGTGCGTGCATATGTTTGTGTGTCACTCTTTGGAAAGCACCAGTTCTGCAGGTTCCTGTGGCTTAAAGTACAGCTTGCAGTACTTCACTCGAACATGAGTAGTGGGTAGAAGGAACACCTCAGCTTAGAAATGTCTAAATGTAGGCATACATTTTTTTTTTTAACATGTTATATAGCACTTCGTGTCAAACAGCTGTTTTTGTGGATGCAATCTTTTCTTTCATATCAATCCTCCAGGAAACTTCAGCTCTTTCATGCAAAAGGAGATCTTTGAGCAACCTGAATCTGTGATAAACACAATGAGAGGCCGCCTCAACTTTGAAAAGGAATCTGTGGTACTGGGCGGCATCAAGGACTACATCACTGAAATCAAGCGCTGCAGACGCCTGTTGCTCATTGGCTGTGGCACCAGCTACCACAGTGCAATAGCTGTAAGCTGGGCTACCCTTCTCTTTGTTGCTGTATGCGAATGCAAGTGCTTTATTTTGTGCAAGTGATGTTTTGAAGCTGAGCCTGTAAGACAGTGATAGAGATATGCCACATGTATAGTGCTGTGCTGTTTTCTTCAGATTTGACTATAATATTTGGTTTTAGTAGGTTAACCCTTCATTCTCAAAAATGCCTGAAAAAAACAGTAAATTACACTAACCACAATCATATTCAACAAAACATCTGAAAGAAACTTTCTGTCATAAGTTTGTTGCCTGGATGCAATGCCACATGGAAAGGCAAAAGCCTGTGGCTTTGCTTGAAAATCACACATACCTTTTATTGTCTTTCAGTATGGAACTGAGGTGTATATATTCCTCTGTTAGTACATGCACAATAGTGCTGCAACTAAGGAACTTGCCTCCTCTGACGAAGATTTCGAGAGAGACCTGTGATAAATTTTCTAGTTTTCTGTTCTTGCTCGAATCTCACACATGGTGCTTGCTGCTCATATTGTAGTTTTGAACAAAGACATTTCACCAGAATGTTCAGGTTTTTCATCTCTGTTTTTCATAAACCGTTTTTCTTGTCTGTTGCCTTCATCTGTTTGAACTTGATTAAAAGAGGGTTTAGTCTCTTGCTTACTCCAGGACAATTGCCTGTGCTATCAGTCTCCTCGAGTGACCCTTGGCGTACTCTTTACCTCCAACTTCCTTTAGCTCGTAGCTTAATGTACATGGATTTGATAAAGAAAAAGTTCCTTCACTCAAAATTTTCCTGGTGTCATTGAGGTTGCTTGTGTGTGTCCTACATGGCAGGTACAGAACATTTTTAGGCAAAAGCCTGTTTGAAGTACCTCATCAAATGGTAGCCAGAAAACTTGGCATGTGGTAGCAAAAGGGGTGTGCGGTGCATAAACTGTTTCCGAGCTCGGCCAGCAAGAAGGTGGGGCAAAGCTTGGTTGATATTGTGCTGTCATCATGACGTCACAGACCAGTGTAATTCTGGTTCCATGACATCAATGCTTGGTCACAGAGATGAGGTGACCTCAAAGACAGTGAAACTCCTTGGGAGGTGCAGAGAGCTTCATAGGGTGGAGGACATCAGTACAAGCATGAGAAGAGGTTAGAAGTGTTCAATAAAGGGACGAGAAAGATTAAAAAATGCTTTCGCCTACGTGTCTATTAGAGAAGACCTAGGGACCCTGGCCTGTTCAGCTTGTTAAGTAGTAGTATCCTAGCATCTTTCAGCCTAAGAATTTCATGATGCATAGTATTGATTTACTTTTTTATGCATTGTACATTTTTTTGTTTTTTTATGCTTTCAGACAAGACAAATATTGGAAGAGCTGACAGAGCTGCCTGTCATGGTAGAACTGGCCAGTGACTTTCTGGATCGCAACACCCCTGTGTTTAGAGATGATGTCTGCTTCTTCATTTCCCAGTCTGGTATGCTTAATCGGTTCCTGTATTGGGGGGGGGGGGGGGGGGGTATGTGTAAGCACTGAAAATATAAAATGGCACATTGTGTTCTCCACTGTTCATATAATATGAATTTTATGTGCAATTCACTTAAGCCTGGTCTTTCAGCTCAACTTTTGCATTAAATATTTTTGTATTATACATGGCTTACTGAATTCAATGGGACATTCATCCAGACTATTGTAAGTGGTCTTGTACCCAGAGGTAACAGCACTGGTAACTTGGTCAGTTGGTAATGACTTGGTGAGTGCAGTACAATATAGCACTAGACAAAGAAAGCATGCAGAATGAGACAAGCACCCATCCTGTTTCCTACCTTGTCTTCTTCTTTTGGACTACTTAATCTAAACAATTGTGAGCACTTAAATGTGCTACAGCTAATGTCTGTATGCTTTTATTAGCACATTTGGATGTGCTAGGCATGTTAGGAAAGTATCCTACCTTATTTTTTTTCACGAATGCCTAATGGATATGAAACAAGCACACTTGCATCAGTCGAGCTTGAACCTTTGTGCGCACCGGAGCCCTCCACTACGGTGTCTCTCATAATTATATGGTGACTGACGCTATCCTGCCGATAGCGTCAGTCGCTGGGACATAGTGTTTGAGTGACGTAGTGCGCAGTGCTTCTGTCAATTTTTTTTATTGGAAGAAAAATTACGGAGCTGCTGGAGCAGCACGACTGCTTCAAATATTGTCCACAAACTGGGCGACAGTCAAGTGGGAACTATTCGGAATATTCGGACTGCTTTTGGTGAGGATGCTATGAGCACCACACAGATTAAGGAGTGGTACAATAAGTTTAAAGATGGCTGCACATTGATGGAGAGCGAGCCATGCTCCGGTCGGCCATCAACATGCCGAAATCACCAGGTCATTGGGAAAGTGAACGCTGAGGTGATGCGGAACTGTTGTGTGGCAGTTCCATTGCCTGTGTTATGCTGTGCGATGCAAAAGACCAGAGTAGTGGTCAACAAGAAATTGGCGCATCCATCATGACAATGCTGCTTCACATTCCTTGCACTTGGTTTAGACTTATTTGGCGAAAAACAAGGCTCCTGTTGTAAACAGGGCCCTTACTCTTCTGATATGGCCTCCTGTGGCTTCTGGCTATTTCCTAACATCTGGAGGCCGTCGAAAGGAGTGCAATTTCAGACAAGAGAGGATATTTTGGCTGCAACCACAGCTGAGATATACTCAGTTCCGAAATGCGTTCTTGGAGTGCTTTCAATGACAGCACTGCCGGGCGAAGTGTGTGGAGTCCCAAGGAGACTACTTTGAGAGTGACTAGGTTTCCAATGCTCTAAATGTGCTGGTGTTTAAATGCAAAGCATTTCTTTGCGTACTGCAAGCACTTTTGATGTCTATGTGCGTCTCTATCTATCTTGTCTAGCCGCCTACGTCTGGATGCTCTCACGATCACCCCCTTAACTTGAGGTATACCGAAATTAGTACAGGACGGCAAAATGGTTTGATGAATATGACTACCTCGTCATGACATGAATAATGTCACGATCTCATTGCGAACATTGTCAAACACTTTCCAAAAAACAGTGGTACATTACTGGGGGCGGGTATGTGCCACTGGTATGTGGGTATTTGCCACAGGCAATAGACATTTTATATCTGCCCTGGAACGGCAAGAACACACATGGGCAACTTCAACACTCGGACGTTAAGAAAAAGCTGCCATAGGCAGCGTTGACCGGAAGAATTCAAACAATAAATGTCAGTGTCCCAAAAGGAATCGAACCCTAGAATTCTGCGTTGCAATGAAGTATTCCAACGTAGTGCCATGTCAGACATTGGGTATACTTTTCAAATAGACCCTAATGTTTCTGTAACGTCAATTGTGGTTGCAATACTGACTTTCCAATTTTATGAATATTACATATGTACTCCTATGATACAGCCGTTAGGGTGGATTAACGTCATTTATAGTTAGGTGTTATCCACTGAAGTTGATTTGTGTACATTGGTTGAGGGCTACCATCGTCGCGCGCACCAGCACAAATGCCAGCGCTTCATATCAGCTTACCACTTCTGGTGTTGCTAATTTTCATGTTGCTGTTTGCATCGTTACACAACTATAAACAACTGCTAACATAGAGCATATGTAGCTGTTTAACGTGTGTGTGTGTGTGTACATGGATTTATACATATATTTAGGGCCACTTCATAACGTATCGCTCAATTAAAAAATAAAACGCGTTCACCTTCCATTCACGTGCTTCGCATAACATCGATTTCCAAGGTACGTGGGATCTGCCAAGTTTTTTTTCTTCTACCAAAGGTCAGATACTTTTCTAACAGACCTCATGTCTTGACAAGGTGTATTCAGCCGAATTACTTTTTAGTACTGCCAGTCTCATTTCAGATTCAGTACAGGCAGGAATACAATTGTTTGAATTACCGGGCCCTCCATGCCTTTGAGGACAAGCACGATTTTAAACATAGCAAGAAGATTTCGAACAAGAACTGGAATAATTGTTTAAAATATGTTACAACAAAGCTGTTACAACAAAGGTTTGCCTTGTTTTGTAGATAGAAAATTATCATTGTGAATTGGCACACTATTTCTTCGTTTTCATTGCCTTCCTCTTCTTCGCTCCCAAACACGTGTGCCGATTTGTCTGGTGTGGGATGCAATACTTCTGATTAGCGAGCGAACGATTAGAAAGTGGGAGAGCAAGCATAGCCATGTGTATAGCAAGGGGCTGGAAAGGGACATGAAAGCTTATCCAAGCCAAGTGCCCACAAGCTCAGATTTGACACAGCCTTGCGCAACCTAGTACAAGCTGCACTAATATTTTTTTAGTGTTTTGCTTTACCATTTCTTTCCTAAAACTTTATTTTAAAAAAATCTTCTCTCTCAATTACTGACAAAACTTGCCTTTTGTAATGGCTTCATACTCACATAAATAATGTGTGTTGATTTGGTGCTATTTTGTGTCAATAGTAGCAGCCTTTGGCAAATTTCAAGTTCCGTGTGGTGGTTTGCTCGTATTCCTTCCAGTGGCCCTACCTGTTCATAGTAGCACAGTGGTTCTTTTGTGGCCTAAGATGCCACATTATCAAAGGTTATGTGGCCACAGAAGCTTTCAGCCAGCTGTGGCCACAGGAGCTTTAAGCTCGCTATTCTTATAACGTACGGGCCCTTTGGTAGTGAGCAGATCAATTTGTAGGAGTGGCAGCCAGTAAAAGTGTGCTCTGAAATTTAGCTTCTCACTCTGCTGCTTTAAAGCTATTCCCCAATGGTTGTAATTGGTAATTCAAGGTTCTCACTCATCATGGCTGCCATCTGCTAGAGAAATTCAGCCACCTAAATGGTATCTGGCCACTGGCACTGCCTACTTTTGTCTTGCATTGTAATTGGTCATAAACTGTTCTTCACTCCAAAAAAGGAATTCAACACCTGAAGGCTATGGTAATCTCGTACTCACCGGGGGTCTGCGTGTTAAGGTGCTAGGGGAATGTAGGGTTTTCTCTTGTTTTGGACCGCAAGCTAGATCGAATGGTGTTCACTAAGTATTTTCTTTATAATAAAAGTCACAGCTTTGCCACGAAGGCGAAACAATGAACGCAATAGCAACAAATTGGAAGGTTACGCGCAGAATGGCAAGCAGATTGAAACGTGCCCCGCGTTTTTCACGCACAAATGACGGATGAAATGTTCTCACAGGTGCAGATGAACGCGAATAAGCGTCTCTGTTGTTACTTAGCTGTGTCTGAAAAGCACGGCCTTTTCGCAAACGGAGACTGTGCAACGATTACAGTGACCTTTGTGTGCTCGGTAACTGCAACAGAATTCTGCCGGTGAAATCCCAATTCCAGCCAAGATGTACGATCGTCCCCACCACTAGATAAGGGCGCGCGAGTACGTGTGGGAGATGAGATGTGGCAACACAGCGCTGATTGCACCATATTGCTCATAATGCTGAAAACACGATAGTTCTCCCAGAGATGCCCGTCAACAGCGGTAAGTGATAGATATAAATAGCTTGTCATTTGAATGTTGAAGGACGTGCCTCTCTGTTGCTCAGTGGTTAACGCCTCGCACTTAGTTTCAGAGGTCCCAAGCTCGATTCCGCTCGTTTTCTGGAATATTTTTCTTTCTTGCATTTATATATATATATATATATATATATATATATATATATATATATATATATATATATATATATATATATATATATATATATATATATATATATATATATATATATATACGTATACATATATGGTGGGTGACGCCGACGCCGGCGGCAAAATCCAGCTGAGAGTGTCCATATAATTGCTATCGCAATAATAGTCCTGGAACATGACCAAAATGCACTTTTGTTACTGCATAAGATGCCAGACACTTGATTCCACACTGTCCGCTTTTGACGACAGATTTTTTTGGAAATAGAAGATGCTAGGGCTAGGAAACAAAAAAGTGCTTTGCGGGCAATAAGAGTGCTCTCTACTACATTTCTAACAAAAAGCTGTCTCGCATCCACTCTCTAGAACGAATGCCTGTGCATTGCAACACTAGGCGAAGTGTATGCAAAACATGTCGACATCGCACATGTACATAGTTTATTGCACACTATCATTGTCAGTTTATTCGTTCCCATTCTCTTTCTTGTACACAGCGTAGAAACCCAGAGACTGAGCTCCTCCAGTCGATCTGTCTTTTTTTTTTTTGCATGAAAGTGTTCTCTCTCTTTAGCTGATACCTTAGAATTGATTCTCTGTAGATAGGTGACAGAGGTGCTAATACAGGTAGAAAAATACCTCAAGCACTCTGTACACAAAAATATAGTTAATTCCATAACTATTTGTGTAAATGCACTCAACTAAATATACCAAGTATCAGTATATTCATCACATAATAGCTTCTGATAGCATAGTTCTGGTAAGTGGCTATACTTTTCTGAAAACAAAGAATACATTCACTTTTCTTGATGCATCTTATTAGAAAATTTACTGCTATGTTACCAGCAAGTTAACTAACATGTACTATGGCAAGATAATTTTAGTCACAGTAAAAGTACATGAATGTTTGGATGAATATAGATGAAAATATTACTTTAGTAACAATTAATTACATGATTCGATAATGTTACAAATTGAGCTTCTCATTCTTTGTTATAGTTATAGTTATTGATGCTTCTAGATAGTTTTGTTTGCAAACAACACCAGAGAGAGTAGAGATTAGATTAAATTAACATTCATTGTTTTCGTCTTGAAAGTGAACAAACATTCTTTAACCTTTGTGGTATTTTTGTACAGGTGAGACGGCAGACACTCTCATGGCACTACGCTACTGCAAGCAGCGTGGCGCCCTAATTGTTGGTATTACCAACACCGTTGGGTCCAGCATATGCCGAGAAAGCCATTGTGGTGTTCACATTAATGCAGGTCCAGAGATTGGTGTGGCCAGCACCAAGGTGAGGACACCTTTGCACTTGCTCGAGCTGTTTGACTACTTGCAACCTTGGGGAGACTGATTATGTTGACATCATATACTTGAAATTTGCTCCGACTCATTCTTATTGTTGCTGGCCTTCCGCACAAATACAGTCGACTCTCGTTAATTCAAACTTGAAGGGACACCTCTGAATTTTGCTTGAATTATCAGAAGTTCTCAGATATAACTGTGGGTAAAGTGACAACCACACATTACGATTAGGCATTGATTTTATCACATTTAAAATTTTTAAACATACCCCAACTGCACGCAATGTACAGAAAGTAGAGGTGTAAGGTGCACAAGTTTACTCCTGATCAGACCTTTTAAAGAAATCGTCAATTGCCAACTGCTTCTTTGCTATATGTGCCTTCAGCTCAAAGCTCTCTATATCAGTTGAGAAGCATCGCAGTTTACCATGCATGTGTTTCCTTTCAAACATTTATTTACTAGCAAGCCTTTTTCCTTGAAGGCCTGAGGCGCCTATTTTTCATTTGTAAAGTTAGGATTATATAAGCACCCAAATTTTAAATAGTAGTGGGAAAGCAGCAGATGTTTTCTGGTATGTAACCACAGAAAGTATTGATTAATTGACGGAAAGTTTGAATTAAGAGGCTTTTAAATACATTGAAAGAATAGAAGACCAACAAAAAAATTGAATTTTATTTGAATTAGCCAAAAGTATGAATTATCAGAGTTTGAAATATCGAGAGCCTACTCTATAGTTAGATTTGTGGCCTTTAGCTAAAGAATTCTTGTGCTACAAAACCTTGACATAATTCATAGCCATTTATACTTTGCATCGCTTTTGTGGAGTGTTTTTTTTTTTTCTTCTCCCTTTTAACTTACAGCAGTTTAACCAAATTGCCAATACAGCTGTACCTGTGTATATTGAACTGTCAAAAACACGGGAACTACTTGAACATATAAAATAATTCGCTATATGACTATTAATGAAATGATTGTATTTGCAATGTGAATCTCGATGCGCAAGTTGGCTTCAGGGCAATAAATATTCTCTTTCTCTCCTTTTTTTTGTTTGTGAAGTGGTATGTGGAGTTGCATGTGGGGATGGGTAATACTCATACACTATAAAATCGGTAGCCATTTGAATAGTGCCTCAAAATGTTGATATGCAGGTGCATGCTCATTGGGTGGCAGACCTGCCTCAGACCTAATATCTGCTTTTTTTTTTTTTTTCAATATCGTACTTGGCATGCTTTTGAGGAGGCTGTACGCAACCATGACGTAAGGCTTCTTTTCCCCAAGCTTGACTGTGTTTATATTGCGAGTCATTCGGTGAACAGCACGTTCTTATCCTATGACATTCCCTGCGTGGAGAAAGCGAGAGAAAACAGCTGTCCTACATGACAGTGTGGTGGTGCTATGACAAGAAATCATGGGGGAAAGCTCGTGATGTAAAGTAGTGATTTCTGCTCTCTCTGTGTTCTCCTGATCACGCTGCTCGGTCTCCCAAGTGCCTGCGGAAACATGACAAATGTCCTCTTCCATGACAAGCTGAAAGTTTGTGAAGAAAAGCCAACTTCATGGGGTGTTTCCCCCTGCCTGATACTTGATATGTTAAGTGTTCCAGTTATTTTTGTTCGATGTAGCTGTAGGCTTGCCTATGCATTAACGTTAAGCCATTAACATGAAGCCAAGTTAAGCAGATGGCGCCGTCGGACGAGCTCAACAGGCCGAAACAACACCAAAAGTTAGAATCAATCAAAACGACGAAGAGAAGACAGGAACTGTTGGCGAAATCGAGATTAAGTTACAACGGTGCCTGAGAAAAGCTTGACGCCGGAAGCGAATTCTCTATTGATCGCAGAAAAAGAAAAGAACGGCAACAATATCATCATCATGTTAAGCAGCTTTGCAGCGACACCATTAGGGGGTGACACAATCTCATCCTGCATTGCTTCCGTCATTTCGTCACTTCCGTAGCCTCGCACACGTGAGCGCCGCGAGTTGTGTTGTGTGTGGCTGTTTACGTGAAAGTGCTGTGGGTTGCTACCGGCGCATCGGCTCTTGCTGAAATGCCCCCGCCAGCCAAAAATCGGAAGTTTCTGTTGCTTCACGATAAGGCTGCCATCATTGCCGAAGTTTAAAAGGGCAGGAAGAAGGATATTGCCAAAGAGTATGGCATTGCGGGCAGCTCGCTTTCAACCATATTGAAGGGCAAAGATGCCATTCTCGCTGCGCTTGATAATGACGCACGTGTGCAGAACAAGACGGTGGCCGCGGCAGCCTTTCTGGATGTCGATAAAGCGGTCTTGGCGTGGTTTTGTGAACAGCGTGCCAACAGAGTGCCACTGTCGGGAAAAATTCTACAGCAGAAGGCACTGGACTTTGCCAGCATCCTCGGGCACGACCAATCCGAGCGAGCGTCGGCTGGTTGGGCCACTTTAAAGCCCGGCATGACATCGTGGCCAAGGCGATTTCCGGAGAAGCCGCAAGCGTTGACCTGGTAACAACGTCGTCGTGGCTGTTGACCAACAAAGAAGTAATGGACCAGTACGAGCCCTGCAACGTACTGGTCCATTACTTGCGACAGCTGTAGCGCCCACCACATCGATGAGACGTAGCTCACGAACGTGCGCTTGCTTTTTTTCCCACCGAACTGCACTTCCATTCTGCAGCCGCTCGACCAAGGCGTGATTCGGAGCGTCAAGTGCACCTACAGGGAGAGGTTGATCCAATGTCTGCTACTCAACCTCCGCCACAAGCGTCCCACAGACGTCAACTTGTGCATGGCTTTCGAGATGGTGGGCGCCGCATGGGTTGCAACATCCCCGTCGCTGATTGAGAACTGCTTTAAGCACGCGGGCTTCACCTCCACCGTGCAAGCATCATGCACGGATTGCACTTCGGCCTCACCAGGCGAAGATTTGGATGAAGGCGCACTTGACGGCGAGAGTGGTGGCAGTGCAGTGCCTCTATTCCTGGGGGGAACTTTGAGCCATCGACATCGACATCCCAGATGAATCACCGTTGATGCGTTTGTTCGTGCCGATAACGACGTAGTTGTGTACGAGGAAGTGACCGACAAGGCCATTATCGAAAGCGTGCGTGATGCTGACGACACCGAGGACCAAGAAGAGACGTACGTGAAGAAACCCAACCCGCGGGTTGTTTTGGATGCGCTGGACACCCTTCGCTCCTTCTTCGGCACACATGACGACAACGTAGCAATGGACCACTTTTTCCAGTGCGAAGGGAGAGCTTTGAAGTTGTTGCATGGCAAGGGTCGGCAAAGTGACTTGACCGACTTTTGGCAATAAATTTTCGTTCTGCTGGCTGTATCATTGTTTTTATGTCTCATACTCGCGAGAACAAAATTCTCGCAAAAACGAAATGTTTCAGTTTCCCCAACGATTTCGTTATTGCAGGTTTCGACTGTAGTCAGATATTGTCCTAAAAGGACCGACCGAGAATATTTGGGTATTACTAGGAATGGCACCACGAAAGCAGACACAAATATCAAGCCTGGCAGTGCACCTTCGTATAGGTGATACGAGGTGTTTTTCAGCGGTGATTAGTTTTGGGCCGTCCCACGTTGCGAGCACCTTGCCTAGATGGGTGGCCAGTGAAGCACTCGTCGCAGAGTAATCGGCTCCCGTATCGACAAGTGCAGTCACCGGATAAGAGTAGACGAAAATCGCAATGGCAGCAGACTTTCTGTTGGCAATTTCAGGAGGAGGCTTCAACGATACATTGTGAGGGGGTGGCATCAGAGAGGGTATTTATCGGTCTGCGTGACAGCGACCTCACCCTCGGAGGTTGTTGTTCTCGGTTACCCCAGTGTGGACTTGCACCACTGACACCAGTGGACTTGAAGGGTAGTTGGGCGCAGTTTGTTAATGTGGGCCGACAAGGTGACGGTGACCGTGACTGTCCTCACTCCCGGACAGTAGGAAGATTACTACTTTCCAAATATTCCTTAATTTCATGCTGGTGCTCACCATAGCATGGACAACGGGCATTCGGGTGGAATACCTGTAGGTCTATTCGTCGGTAGCAACAATTGTGGTACATGTGTCCAGTTTCGCCACTGTGGCAGCAGAAAGGATGATTGTCGGGAGCCCACCAGACGGTCGACTTACGTGGGCCAGCACGAAGGTCGGCCTGCAAAGCCAGTTGGTTGGACTTAGAAAATGTCAAGGGCCCCCAACAGGTGGATGAACAAAGTGCGTTGTCAACGTCATAAAGTTGTGCAGGGAATTCTTGTAGGAAAGCGTGGGAGGTTCGGCTCGCAGTGGTGATGAGGAGTGAATAAACTGCCTTATTTCATTTCGAATGACATTAGTAAGAGCAGCAACAATTCAAAGGGATGCTGCACAAGATTTCTGGAGTTCTTCGCCTACAACCTGCCGCTTGAGTTCTATAAGAGACTCCCTGGGGCCATCGCATCTCGCACAAGTGAGCACGCAGCAAACATGGTGGTCTGGCACTTGTACTGCGACAGCTGCTGCGGAAGCCTGCGCTACCTAAATATGAACTCGCATATGAACTCTGACACTGTGGTAGGATGGTTGGACACAAGGTCCACGAAGAGCTGCTTCTTTACGCCTTGCATCAACAGCCGTACCTTCTTTTCCTCTGGTATGCCGAGGTCAGCCCGTCTGAACAGTCACAATATGTCTTCGACAAACATGGCGACGCTCTTGTTTGGCATTTGAAACCACAAAAAAAGCGCCTGCTTCGCTCTATTTCCGTTCGAGGTTGCTGAAGGCCTTTCTAAGCTGCCGCTGGAACTCTTGCCAACTGGTGGATGAAGCTTCATGGTTCTTGTACCACACTCTGGCCAGGTTTACGAGGGAGATGTAGACTTTTTTCAACTGACGGTGATTGTCCCAGTCATTGATGGCAGCAACCCAGTCAAAAATATTCGAGCCAGTCTTCCGTATCTCCACCGGCATCACCATGGATTTGGTTGGGCGTGCAAGGCGTGTTGATGATACAGGGTACACCAGTGAATGGGTCATGCTCGGTTTAGGTGGCGACTATGGCAGACATTGTCCTCACGGGACTTGCCAAGGGGCCATACTGTGGTGATAGACCTCGAAGGCAGCGGCTGCTTCAGTGGATATTAGCAGATCCTAGTGCACTGGGTTGCATGCAATGCATTGAGTTGCATGTAGCACCCTCACCATTTTGTCATGAGAGAAAACTATGAACAAGAACTCGGTGAATGGCTGTTTACTCAGCCACAGCAGCCATTTACTTCTACACTCTCATCTTCTGCCACCACCACAGCGTGGCAATGTAATAGATCATTCTATTTACCCGAGTTCTATACACCAGAACGCAGCGAGCCCAGTGCGTGCTGCCATATTGAAAAGCATGTCGCACCATCTGTAGCAAGCGCAGCGAAGCAACGCCTTGCACTGCCACGCGAGCTGACACTCCACAAGTCAAACGCGAAGCTGTACAACCAGAGTCGAGCTGTAAGCATGTTTCGCACTCTTCCTCTCCTGGAATTTTGTGCTGATTTTATGTGAAACATCGAGGAGACCTTCCTCGGCTGTCGGGAATGTCTACAGCACGTGCATCGGAGGCTGCAGAAGCAACTTCATCAGGTACATACTAGCACGATTGAAAAAAACATGAACAGCGGAAAGCGTTGCTTTTGACTGGGGCGTGCCTTGGCTGTGGCAAGGCAAAATTTGTGCTGCAAGCCGGCGTCAACGTAACGCTAGAATCTTACTCCAACTTGCGCTCATGCACCGGATGCATTTATCGTTTGCCAGTCATGCCGGGCACTCTGAACACACATGTGGTGCAAAAGTACCAGCCAGAACAAGATTTTAAAATGCTATGGGGATGCTAGCTGAAGCACAGATTCGCCTAGTGACAGCCAAGGCATGGCGCAGTTCGACCGAGTCGAAAGCCATGCTTTCCGCACCCTTCAAGTCTCTTTGCCTTGCGATAATACGGCACTACAATTGTACCGAACGTGTATAGTGCGTGCATCTACGCGCGAGTCGTAATATAACCTATTACTGGCATGCAGCTCGCGAAAGAGTATTGCAATGGTTTGATGCCGTTTACTACTGGCATACTGCACACAAATCGCTGCTGTAAAGTGGAACAGCTGGCATTACGCTTGAATAAATGCAATATGGATATTTACTCTTACACTTTTACTGGGGTCAAACTTTTTTCTGCCGATTGCTTTTATATCCACTGGTGGTGGAGCTCGGCGTTTTTTGTTGATGAAAATCTGTGCAATTGGAAAACATGCACTGGCACTATTGCCGCACTGTGTTATGGTCTTCACAGACAGTGCTGAGTAATAGGGAGTTTTCAAATAGGGGCCCCAAAAGCTTGGGGCCCGAAAGCCCTCTGTGCATGGATTGTTCGGTCAAGCAGGAGCGATGAGTTTTAGAATAGGGTCTGTCGTGCTTTGGACACTCCCTCTATTCTGTGTCACTCTAGTCTTGGCCGAAAGCTGTCCCTTCAGTGGGTGTCGTCACGTTTGTCTGTCCCAAAACTTTTGGGGCAGGCTTTGGGGCTCCCGCTGAATTCGAGAAATAGCGTCCCCAACCCAAAACCCAAACGTGGTTCGGGATTTGCGCATGCGCAGTTGGGCTTGACGCAATTTCTTTGGGGCCCCAAACTTTTGGAGCCCCTATTCGAAAACTCTCTACTATCTTACTCTTGTACTGGTTGTTTTCGCACCCGAAGATGGATGCGAAAACATTCATCTTTGGATGCCCAGACGACTTCTTGTAAGCGTGGTAGTTGGCGTCCTGCTTGAATACATACAGTAAGTGTGCTTACTCATGCATATTAACTAGGCTCATAGTCTTTTCTGTTCACGGCATTTATCTATTGGTGACGAAATTTGACGCGTTTTGTTGCGGATGTAAATCGGTGAAAAGGGAAAACACTGCACTGGCACGATTCCCTGATGCTCTGTGAACTTCTCAAGCTTTGCTCAGCAATCTCTTCCTCTTGTGCTGGTTGTTGTCGCATCCGAAGATGGCACAGTGGTGCCCAGGTGACTTTTTATCAGCGGGCACAGCATAAACAGCCATTTTTTCACATTTCAAAGTCCCAGAGCCACTGCTTGCCATGCCAGTGAGGCACGGCTTGGCAGTTCAAAACAAATTATGGCGTTGTACCGCCGAAGGTGCCTGCGTGCGAGATAGGGGTGCTCTCGTCTATAGTCAGGTTTGGCTGTACTACTTAGATTAAAACTGTAAACTAAATGAGTTTCAATGAGCAAGCTGGCACAATAAGTCTTATATTAGGCTTTGAAAGATCGGTATGAGACCTGTACACAAAGTGTAACTTATTGCATCCTTCTTGAGTATGTAAATTGTTGGTAGCCTATTAATACATCAAAGCATGTAATGTGTAGCACAAAAAACTTTGCATGCAAGTTCAGTAGCTATTCATATTCGTGGCTTTTTTTATTTATTGGGTTTATTTGTAATGATTCATTCTGCTCGGAAAAATACTGAGGCTTTTTAGGAGATTCAGGATTCATTGCCTGAATAAATGAGTTGATAGAACTATGAGAAAGAAAAAAATGATGCTTAGAAATGCCTAAATACGCTGACTGAGTTCTGTAACATTGAGCAATACTTGTGAGAAATTGGTATTTGCATGCAATAACAAGTTTGTAATAACTTTCAGAGCTAGAAATAAATAACCCAAAAAGCTTTTCCGAGTCGAAATAACAGTTCATAAAAGTAAAGTTTTCATTTTAATAGGACAAATAAATTCGTACTTTTTTCTTGTTCCCATTTTACCAACCCTATTATGGACAAGTTCCCAACTGGGCTCTCTTTTTGCTCTCATTTTTGCAACAGGCATACACAAGCCAATTCATCTCGCTTGTGATGTTCTCCCTGATGATGTGTGAGGATCGAATTTCCATGCAACCTCGACGCAGTGAAATTATTCAAGGACTTCACAGGCTTCCGGGTACGTAGTACTCCATTATAATTTTTTGTTCACATACGATTCTTGTTCGAAATGTTCAACCTTGTGGGGAGAATAACAATGCTCAATTTCTTCATATACTGCTCGCCCTTTTCCTTAGCGGTATATAATTTTTTCTCGCAATACTGAAAATTTCACTTGCACTGAGTTATTGGCACTATAAATGAAGCATGCTAATATGTAAATGTAAATGCAATCGTTACAAAATCTTCAAATATGGCTTTGTTGAGATGCTGTTATTACAATCCATTCTTTGAATTTGACATCCTGAGACTGTTGTTTCAGTGTTTTTACTCGGAATCGTTTGGTTTTTGCTGGAAGTTTTGAAGCTGCAAAGCCAGATTGACAAACTTTAATATGCAAAACTTTGTCATGCTATTTCAATAGTACCTAATATTTTTTACCTATTTTTTTGATGGTATTGCTTTTAGACCAGATAAAAGAGGTGCTGAAGCTTGACGATGAAGTGAAGGAGCTCGCTCAACATCTTTACCAACAGAAGTCTCTCTTGGTCATGGGCAGGGGCTACAACCATGCTACATGCTTGGAAGGTGCTCTGGTCAGTTGCCCTTCTGCCAAACTGTCTGTTTAGTCTAGTAAAGAAGGTCTACATGTTAAGTAGATCAGAGAATTTGCTTGCAACGAACGCTGTATCACATCTCTCTGCTGAGAAGGTCGTCTACCTTCTCAGCAGAGGTAATTCAGGAACTAATTCAAAGATGTATATTTACTGCAATTCAAAATAGCAGCAGAAGTCTACTTAACTTATCAACTTTTTGTTTTTTCTCACTGTAATAATGGTATGAAAATCAATAGACATTCACGGATGTTGAGATTGTTTGCGGTCTGTCTGCACGGGTGGCCTGGTAGAGGTGGCAGAAGCTTTTTGTGTCGGGTAATTTTGCTGTTTAGATGTCTCCTCTACAGCTAGTGGTAATGACGCATTATGCTGTAGTGAGGCTTAAAGAAAGCCATTGAAGTAGGTTGTTCGTAGCAGTTATCAGCCTTTTCGTAACACCGGTATATGTGCCTTTAATTTCAGAAAATCAAAGAGCTGACGTATATGCATTCTGAAGGCATTCTGGCGGGGGAGCTAAAACATGGACCTCTAGCCCTTGTAGACAAGGCCATGCCAGTCATGATGGTGCTAACACGAGACCCTGTATTCCCCAAATGTATGAATGCTTTGCAGCAGGTAAGTTTGTAACAGGACAGCTTCAGAAATAAATGATTTGCCTTTCTTTATCATAATTAAACATCTGCCATGACTGATGCTTACTGTAGATATCTGAAATATCACCAGAGGTATGTTTTTTTTATGACATTACTAATGGGGAAGAAAAAAAGCTCTTGGCTTTTACATACACTGGAAGTTCCCTGAAAAGAATAGAGAAAAGAAAGGGTCAATACCACAAAAGGGATAACTGCACTACCGACGTACATAGAAACCAGACACGCACACAAGCACAGTCTTGAAGTTAATTTTTATTTCGCACAGTCCACCTATAAGTACATTCCAAAAAAGCCATCACCGTGCTTGCACATTTCAGAAAGGTATCGCAAAAAAAAAAAAATTCTGAAAAACCATAAGACATTGTCTTAACAACGCTCATCAATAAACCTCCTCCATGTGCTATACAAAACACCGATGATTCACTGACGTACTCATTTCCCTTCTTTCTAATGTGGTATGCTTCGCTAATTTCTCTTTATTATCATGGCAATGGCTCAATATCTTAACACCTGTCAGCATCGGTTCACACTTGCACTCAAAGCAGTTGGTGCCAGAACGTGGTGGTCTAGTGGCTAAGGTACTCGGCTACTGAACCCCAGGTCATGGGATCAAATCCCGGCTGCGGCTGCTGCATTTTCAATAGAGGCGGGAATGTTGTAGGCTCACCTGTGCTCAGATTTGGGTGCATGTTAAAGAACCCCAGGTCGTCGACATTTCCAGAGCCCTTCAGTACGGCATCTCTCATAATCATATGGTGGTTTTGGGATGCGAAACCCCATATACCTATCTATCATAGCAATGGGTGAGTAGGTGCCCACTTGTATTGTTCATAACTGACAATTCATGTTCACACGTGTGAATGTTAAGGCGTCTTTCGGTCTCTCCTACATAACTTTTTCCACGTGGCAAAGGTACTTCTTAGACCACGCTAACATTGCACTCTGCATATGAATTCGTGTTTTTTCTCACATCATTGTACCCTGTTCAGGCTGCCGCCTATGCATGGGCATAGCCCTGCGAGCTTCTTTGGAGCTGAAAACATGACGTCAATGTCTTATGGTTTTCAAGTATTTTTGTGATGATACGTCTCTGATATATGTGCATGTTTGGTGATGGTTTCTGCTGATTGTACTTATAGGTGGACTGCGTGAAATGAAAGTTGCAAGTCTGCACTTGTGTGTGTGTCTCGTTTTTACATGCGTATCGGGTAGTGAAGTTCCACCTTTTGTATTAAGATGCACCAACTCGCCCACCGACAAGTTCTTTGAGAAAGAATTGGCGTTTGAAGATAGCTGCAATATACACTAACATAACATAATAATTCTCAACCATAGTTAGCATGTGGTGTATCAAATATGGTTTGCATAGAATGTCTTGGCATAGTAGAATAAAAATTAAACCACGCATATTCACTTGTAATCTGTGTGTTCTCTCTACTCTAGTACTGTCGCTAATACTCAAATTGTGTTTTTTAACTTATTCTGATGTTGACTTCTAAAATGATCATTTTTGTTAAGTAGTCTCAACTTGGAAATTGTGAAATTCATAATGGTAGATAATGTTAAATATATATGGAATTGTGCTGCATAACTAAATGGAGATACAAGGGACATAACAATGTAGATAGTGCAATTCCACATTGTTTGTATTCCTTCTAGTCTGCTTATTTTCACTGCATAAACCAAGTACTCAAGAATTTTCTACCATCTAGATCATGAGCACATTCTTCCTATACATTGCACAAGAATCCACTCACGCACTAGCTGCTACACCAGCTTACATGAAATTGGAATAATCTATCCATGACAGCATCTTGTGAAATGAATTTATGCTTATGTGCCTGCTCTCACAAAATTGCTAAGCCATGTACGAGGTCTGTTGGAAAAGTAGGCGGCCTTTGGTGGAATAAAAAAATATCTGGCATAATTGGAGCGTCGGAAACCTAATCCCTCTCAAGGTGGTTCCATTGGGACTCCACACACTTCTCCCAGCAGTGCTGCCATTGTTGAAAGCATTCTCGGAAGGCCTTTTTCGGAATGGATTTCAGCTCGGCTGTCGTTGCACCCATAATGTCCTCCCTTGTCTTAAATCGCTCTCCTTTCAATGTCCTCTTGTGTTTGCGAAACAGCCAGAAGTCGCAGGGGTTCATATCAGGAGCGTAAGGAGCCTGTTGAACTACAGGAGTCTGACTTTTCGCCAAAAAAGTCTGAATTAAGTGGGAGGAATGTGCAGGAGCACTGTCGTGATGGATGTGCCAGCTTCCTGTTAACTACAACTCAGGTCTCTTGCGCCTCACAGCATCACGCAGGCGATGGAGGACATCCCTGCAGTACCCTTTGGTGATCGTTTGACCTTGTGGTGTGTACTCGTGGTGTACCATACCGCAGGAGTCAAAGAAAGCACTCAGTATTACTTTGACGTTGCTGCGCATTTGGTGGGCCGGGCCTTCTTTGGTCTTGGTGACGTAGAATGCTTCCACTGTGACGACTGGGGTTTGGTTTCCAGGTTGTACCCGTACACCCAAGACCAGTAGTAATGGTGTTCATGAAGTTAGGGTCACTGCTTGTGAAACCCAGCATGTCCTGTAAGGCTTCCACTTAAAGTTGCTTTTGCTTCGTGAGCAGTTTCAGCATGAATTTGGCCGCAACTCTCTTCATGTCCAAATATTCGATGATAATGGAATGTGCAGAGAAAGTGCTGATGCCCACCTTTTTCACAATTTTTCGGATCACCACAGCGTTCACTTCGGCAATGAACTGGTCATTTCGGCATGTTGATGGCCTACCGGAGCATGGCTTGTTCTCCACCGATGTGCGGTTGTCTTTAAACCGGTTGTACCACTCCTTAATCTGTGTGTGGCTCATAGCCTCATCACCAAAAACAGTCTTGATCTTCCAAATGGTTTCCGCTAGGCTGTCACCCAGTTTCTGGCAAAATCTGATGCAGTAGCGCTGCTGCATTCGCTCCGTCATTTTCCTTGTAATGAAAAATCGATGAGAGCACTGCGCTTTACCTTACTAAAACACTGTATCCCAACGACTGACGCTATTGGCAGGCAGAAAAAAAATTGATGCATGCGCACGAAGGTTCAACTTCGGCTGATGCAAGCGCGTTTGTTTCAAATTCATCGGGTGTTCACAAAAAAAAAAAAGGTGGGATACTTTTCTAACAGACCTCGTATGCACCATGTCTCAATGGCATGAATGCCTACATAATTACATAATGATAAAATGAAGTGATTTTCAACTTTATTGGCATCTAGGCCTCTTGATTGTGCTATGAGGGACAAATATGACAATGCACGCACGTAAACAAGAACTACAAAACTTCCATTAATTGTGCATCTACTTAGGTACAGTTGACGTTGCTATACAGCTGTTGCCTATTGTCAATGAGTCTATCTCCTCTACCTTAAGCACAAGTTTCCAGTTTTGCAATTATAGTTCAAATATTTGAGCATGGGTTGTGCTAGTGCAAAAATCTGGAAGGTCTTTTTTTTTTTACATTATAAGCTGCCGTGAAAATCTGAGCCCAATTTTATGGTACTTGGGTCTTTAACTAAGACCTACTTGCTGTGGTAACTTGATAGCAAAGCTGTTGCACTGTTAGCTCAAGGACATGAGTTTGATTTTGGGGCTGCAGCACTCATTTTTCAATGAGGGGAAAATGCAAAAACATTAGTGTACTTAATTTTGGTGTCTATGTTAAATAACCCCAGGTGGTCAAAAATAATTCGGAGTCCCCTCACTGCACTGTGCCTCATGATATTATGGTTTTGGCATGTAAAAACCCAATAATTAATGCAGCCTCTGCTACAGCATGGTTTATATGATGTAGTAATTTCAGCTCGTGAAACCCCAAAGTTCAATTTGTCCTCAACAAAGGTGCACAATAAGCTTTCTGTTTTGATCAAAGAGTACCTACTTTCCTCTTGAACGTCCTAATTATCCTTGCCTCAGTCTTACGCTTGTTGTGAGGCTTCAGTAACCCTAAATTGGCTAGTTACCACATGAAGCCAGGAAAAGCATGCTAAAACTAACGGTTCTTTTTTTGCTAAGGTATAGGAATAAAAGTTTGCCCCCGCCGCGGTGGTCTAGTGGCTAAGGTACTCGGCTGCTCACTCGCAGGTTACGGGATCAAATCCCGGCTGCGGAAGCTGCATTTTCTATGGAGGCACAAATGCTGTAGGCCCGTGGGCTCACATTTATATGCGCATTGAAGAACCTCAGGTGGTTGACATTTCCGGAGCCCTCCTCTCTGGCGCCTCTCGCAATCGTATGGTGGTTTTGGGACGTTAAACCCCACATATCTTTTGGGACGTGAACCCCACAAATCAATCAAACCCCATGTATCAATCAATCAATCAATTGGGAATAAAAGTCTGGTTAACTGATCAAATAACTTTTTATCATTTAGGTCAACTTTTGATGGTAGATACAGTCAACTCTCATATAATCAAACTCGAAGGGACCTCTGAATTTTGTTTGAATTATCAAGTTTGAATTAAGTTTGAATTATCAGAAGTTCTCAGATATGACTGTGGGTTAGGTGACACAACACATTATGATTAGGCATTGATTTTATCGGGAGGAGGAGGAATAAACTTTATTATGAGAAACCAGCAAGTTTAGGTGGCCGGGCCTAAGCCTCCTATGAGAGGACATCAAGGGCTTGCTTAGACGCTGCCTCGCGAGTGTGCTGGGTCGCCCAGGTTTGGTCGTAAAAAGCGGGGCTTTGCAGAGCCTCATGGAGCTTCGACGAAAGGGTCGTGGCCTTAGTGTGTGTACTGTGCCGGGCACTCCCACAGCATGTGCGGAAGCGTAGCCGGGTGAGTGCCACAGCACCGGCAGTGGGAGGTTGTGTACACGTCCGGGAATATGAGGTGAAAGCGGGCAGGTAAGGGATACGTGTTTGTTTGAAGTAGACGCAAAGTGGTGGCCTGTGCCCGGTTGAGCTTGGGG